AGCATTTGGTTGTGAAGGAAAATATGATTGCATGACTAGAGTATGAACAGCAGAGCAAGCCCCCATATGTGGTAGGGCTGAAGCAGTAGCATACTGGGGTGTCGGCTCTGGGATCTTGCAGTGAAGGATTCTGCCAGTAGTGGATGTGACTTGCACAATTTTCTGTAAATCCAGAATTGCCAGTATTTGCGGGAAAAAATCTTACCTGATGGAGAGAAAAAGTCATCCCATTTTTCTCTCCTGCTCTGCAAGTTATGTTTACCCTGGTGATAGGAAAGGATTGTGCCATGGAGATGAGTGTAACTCCAGGTGGTGAGTGGGACCCCAATTATACTTAAAATTGCCTTAATCCAGTCTAAACAGAGAGAGGGACATTAGCGTACATTTGCTCTGACAAGCTGTGCCAAAACAATCACTGCTCTCTAGGGAGTTAGAGATCAGGCGAAATTCTGTGTTTCAGCCATGTCATGTGATCCAGAACTGAGGTTGATTACCTTCAGATTTGTGGCCATTGACCCGCAATCCCTGTATGACCTTTTCGGTGTGCCCTTTGGGCATGTGCTGCAGCTGCCCCGGGGTCATGATTAAACACAGGTTAGGCTGGTTAGCTGGTGAGTTTTTGCCAAGTAGAGCCCTGAATGATTTCTGCTTTTTGCTTAATCTAGAAAAGAATTTTAGATTCCTGTTCCTTACCTTACAGCCAAATTTTCCTTAACAATCTTACAGTTCCACCACTACCCTCCCCGTTCTTTTTTCTTTAAGTGTTGGTTTTGGTAGAAGCTGACCAATGAGTTTAAAAGTGCCTGAAATTTGGGAAAACAGGGAGGAAGGAAAAGGCAAGTAAATACTAAATGCTATTATGTAAATCTCACTTCTGTGGGAAACTGGACTACAAAAAAGAACTTTGCTCTCAATTCAGTTTGGATCTGGTGGTTAGAATTAAAGATTACCAACAAATTGTATTTTCTCCTGTTGTGCTCTGCAAATGGCCATAGTTCACAAGCGTGATGGTTTGTATTTTTCTTGGAAAACAGTAAGCATGATCTGTAAATCAGCTACAGCACTGAAATGTGTTGGGGGTGATGGTTGTTACATGTGAAGTAGGAAACAGCAGGATGAATAACCTGTCCATGTGATGCTTTGCAAGGAAAGTGGAATAGGGCTACAAGAGACTAGATAATCCCCAAGTAATCTGTTGCACTGTCTTCTATAATCTTTGAGTATCAGCATATAAAGGAAGCAGTCAAAAAACAGAAAGAAAAATGGGATTTAGAGAAGAATGTGGATCTCAATTTGCAGTGCTTATTTGAACAGATGCTCATGAAGGGTGAGCGTGGCTCTCAAATGGATTAATTAGCACAGTGTTACAAAAGGGTTGTGGAAAGATGTGATCAGAGACCCTCGATTTTTTTCTGAGCTTCCTTAATGGGGAATAAGATTCAGGACAGTAAGGAGAGATGGAAAGCAGAGAAAGAAAGAAGGAACAGATCCTCTTGAGTGCTCTTTACAGCCCTTTGTCCTTCTCTCATCTTTTTCCAGTGTCTCTCTGCCTTCTTTCTTACTCTTCTTTCGTACTTGCTCTTTGCATTTGCTGTCTTGGTGAGAGAACCGAAAGAATACTAATCCAACAGTAACTGTATGTCTCTAGCATGCAGGAGGAGTATAGCTGAGGAAAAGTGAATGAGTGTCTGAAGGTTGTTGTATAGCCAGTTAGTAAATGCAGCTTCCTATCAAATTAGGAGACTGCTCCTCTCTACCATGTTATTTCTCTTCTGAATGCGTACTACAACAAACATTAGGTTTATTTCATGCTGTCATTCCCAATTTACTGCTTTTTTGAAGGATGGCTGCTGCCGTTTATCCATACTGAAGTGTTCAGTGAGGTTGGTAAAGATGGTGTTGTACCATAACAATCCTGGCTCTAAGAAGCAGTGAAATTTAATACATGGGCTCCTTCATTGTTAGCTTTCTCATATCAGTTGAATTTCTGTTGTTAATTTGTTGTTAAAACCGTTGCTGCCTCTTGCCCAAGGCATAGTCAAAGAAGAGACTACTGTAGAGTCCTTCCATTATGTACAAAAGCATGCTGATTTAACATGTCTGTATTTGGATAGCTAATATTTTATTTGGCTGTTCCTTTGAGAGTAAGTTTACATTGACATTCTCCTCTCTAGCAGATGTGCTTTGTGTTTTGTTTTCTAGGTAGTTATCACAGATTTGTCTTCTGTGCTTCAATGAATTCTTGACACAGACAGTGGAAATTAATATTAAAAACGTGAGGTTTAACATGTTGGACCAGAGCAATCTTTCATCCAAGGACCAAGCCAAGCACAGTAGTATGACCACCTTCCAGAAAAATCGGGCTTAGAGAATCTCTCAGTGTGATTCAGACAGCAAAACTAATAGCACAGAGTAATTTTGAAACACAGCTCTGCCTCCCAAGGCAGAGCTTAGCAGTGGTTTACTCTGGTTAATGTAGACACTTATTTTTAGAAGATAAAGTTATATCATTGGCAATAAAGAGGTCTTGATGTACTTTTGAGACAATCACCCATACATAGACACAAATCCCCCATAACTTCACGGATACAGGCCTCTTTTTTATGCTAGATTTTTGTTCATCTGCCATGACTCAGGGTACTGTGTCATGTTAAATGCTTTCCGTCTGTGTATGTGGATATTCTTGTTTGGTGAAAGAGGCTTCTTGCTGCAACTGGAATTAAGATCATGTGTATTTAAATTTCTTGGAAATGTGTTTCTCTTAATACAAAGATTACATGACAGCAATAGGTAAGATACATTTCTAGTCTTTATATGGTAGTTTTCTGATCTTTCTTTAAACCCATCTTTGGACTTGACAATATCACTGCTGCTTTCCAGAAATGAATCTTCATTACATTATAAGTATTACTTTTATAGTTTTGATTTTTGAACTGTGCAAGTGATAAAGTAAGTCAGTATCCCCTGTCATTGTCTTCTGCTTCAACTCCACTCACAGCCCCAGTAAACTTCACATGACTGAAGCCATATATATAAAGATATATGTTTGTTTACACATGTGTGCATTTACATGAACATGCATGGTGGTAAACCATAAGTGTCAGAAATCTTGGCCTATATTACAGTTGATGGTTCAATTCTTCCTGGTCCACTCTGCTTCTATATTTCATTATTCTTGATTTCAACAAGCTATTTCCCGAAAGGATCCATGATACTTACAGGTATTTAAACACCTGGGTTACCTGTGTGCCTTAGTGTGCTTTCCTTGCCTTTCATCTCTCAGTAACAGAGTACAACACCTGGTATGAGTCAAAAGTAGTAGTGTCAACCATTTAGGATGACAAATAGGTTCCTCTCAGGAAAGACCTAAAAGTCTACTTTGACAGAAATAGTGTTTCTACTTAAGTTGCGTTTACAGAAAAGTCAGTGGGGTGACTTTGCGCCTAACATCACCTTTTGACTTAATGTGAAAGTATGTGCTTTGTGACTACTTTTCTTGTCAGGTGCTATTGCCATCTATTAAGTCCTAATATACCAGGTCAATCTTGTTACTGCACAAACATAGAAAGAACCAAACTCTAAGCTAGCATCAGAAGTTGTGTAATATCCTTATGTAAGTAAAAACATTACTTAGCAGTTGATGCTCTGCCACATTTTTTCTGCTTCAGTTTTCTCAGAACAGATACACAGAGAGACATAACCAAGTCCCACCTGCCAGCTGAATGAGAAGGCATGCAGCCCTTGTCTTTCTCTCTGCAGCTGGACTGTAAGAGAGTTAATGTCTCTTGGAGCAGCATGAAATTTCACACTCTCACTAGCCTAACAGCAAGCATCCCCAGAGTATGGTTCTTTCTTAGCAGTCTCGTTCCTTGGGTTCAGGCTGCCCTCTTCATACACCTGATAAGGCACTCTAGAAGCAGACACAATTGCATGCATTAATTGAAAGACAAAGAGCTAAGATTTCTATTACCTGAAAAAAACCTCGTTGTTTTAAAATAACTTTATTTTACTAGTATATGGGTTTTTATTGAAAGAAAAAAAAAAAGCGTATTCTTAATCCAAATGGAAGGATTGCAGTATGAATGGTTGTAATGCTTAGGACAGTTTATTTAAAGTAGAAACACCTGTCCCAGGGTGTAAGAACAATGTAGTGATACATTGCAAAAGCAACTGCAGTTGTGATAACCATGGTTTTGTTGGGTTTTATGGTATAGTAAAGATTGAGGTGAAAGTCTTGGTCATTAGAATGATTCAGTACTGATTTTCTACCGAAGTGGTGGGTACCTGTCTTTTCTTTTCAAGGCCTGTTTTGTCAGTTTCTGACAAATACAAATTTGGCAGATACATGGGTTGCAAATTCACTCTGGCGTTTCTGGAGGTAACCTTGGAAAACAGGCTCCTTATTGTGTTAGTTTTCAGACATAAATGTGTCTACAGCATTTTTGTCCTTCTGTACAAATAATCTGAAGCTAACAGCATGCATATGTCACATTTTGGGATATCTGTTGAGAACCATGAATGCTGTAAACATACTTTAAGATTTGAAGCCTTACCATTTCACCTGGATGTCATACAAGCCATGCCTTAGACAAACAGATCCTGTTGGAAACGTTGTTCTACCATGTGTATGAATGCCTTTTAAAAAAAAAAAATACTGGGACTGAGGGCCTGATCTTAAGTACATTACAAAGTACAAGTACTTTAATATTTGGTAATGAGCAGTGGGAATCATTAGTGTACTGTGTCAGTAACTGTGCTTGGTGAGCTGCCTGCTAAGCTGCAATATGAAATGCTTTAGGAAGGGAACAGTAAAAGAATTGATATTGCATAACAGTATTTCTTTAATGAAAGCTGTCTCTACAATGTCATATCAGAGAACCAGTCCACTGTTTGCCAAATGAACTAAGGTTTTTATAGCTAGCAGTTTTATGTGCATCACTTTTATGCCTGTGATGGAGTCTAGTAATTTAAGACTGTTTACCTTTCCCTATATCTTGCAGGCATACAGGAGTTTCCAGAAAATATAAAAAACTGTAAAGTCTTGACAGTTGTTGAGGCCAGCGTAAATCCTATTTCAAAGTAAGTTTGTAAATTTTTTCAGTGTTTTATGTTTGCACAAACACTGCTGAGTCTCGGACTTGCTTCAGACACGTGCCAACCCTGGGAGGCAAGGAGCAGACTTACCTGAGAAGTATCTTCATTAACCTCATTGCACTGTGATACAGTATGGCTATGTCATTACAGTATTTTGCTAAAGTAATAGGATATGTGGGCAATCCTACATTATACCATGTGGCTTTCTCAGCTTTTTTTAAGTCTGTCGCTCCTCTGGGAATGTAGAGAAATATGCAAAGAGGTTTCTTTCTTAATAACAATAATTAATTTTAATCTAAATACCATACCACTGTTTTTCAAACTTAACTTTTATGAGTAGATTTCCCTGTCACTTTCTCTTGTGACAAAATTAATTTGCCAGAAGCAGCACTGCCAGAGGTACAAACTTTGCACAGCATAACTCTTCTGGGGAAAAAATGTGTTGCATAGGCTTTAATTTATCTTACTGTCTCTAATGAATGCCTCCTCCATATTAGGTGTCAGGAGATCACAAATACATAGCAAGACTACATTTGTTGTTGTTTGTAGATTTTATTGCCTGTAGATATTGTCCTCCATCCTTAAAAATAATTTTGAAACTAGTCTTGCAGAGAACAAGTATCTAGTGCAATTTTGTAGAAATTTTGATACCACCTTAATTTTAATGTTACCAATATGTAGGACATCAATACTATACTGTTGTTTAAGAAAATATGACTTAATGCCCTGAATATAATTGAAATAAAGGCACTACATTATTTTATTTCTATATAGGCTTCCAGATGGATTTTCCCAACTGTTAAACCTAACGCAGCTGTACCTGAATGATGCTTTTCTTGAGTTTTTGCCAGCCAATTTTGGGAGGTAAGTTGAATTTGAAACTTAGTATCTGCATTTAATTTTAAACTTAATGCAGAGTAGTTTCTGGTGCTTCTCAAGTGAAGTGTGAACTGGAGGAGGGGAAGAAGTGTGCATTACCAATCCACTTATGCCACGTGTAAGTCACAGGAAAAAAAAAACCTGGATCTCTATTACCATTTTTTAATTGGGCTCTTGAAGGACTGACTCTGCTTATAAAGAGAGAAGAAATAAAGCTTATTTACATACTTGCTTCTTTTACAACACAAGTCTGGGAGACGAGTGTTTCTGAAATATGGCTTGTTTGTCATTTAGTAATTGGAGTGAAGCAAATAATGACATGTAATTCCACTTGTCCTCTCCTCGATGCACACATTCCTTCATACACATCTGTGATTTTCAAGTGCCTTGTTGTCAGGAATCTTTCTGAAAGACTGAGCGTATTTACAGTGTGCTGACTAAGCAAAATTGTTCCATGTAATAGCTTAAATACAAGAAAATACTAAACTCCTACGTCTTGAAAATGGATTAAATCTTGGGACCAAAAGTGAAAAGATAATATTGTTAAAAAGAGGACTCCTAGATGAGCATAGCTCATCCTGTTTTCCTCATCATGCTGATTTAGCCATTTCTGCTTTTCCCCCACTCTCTTCATTCTTATGTTATGCTCTGTTTTCCTACATTGTCACTCTCCTACACCGCCCCATGTCCAGCAAGCCTCTCTTTCAGGAAATATGGCTATTAGTTAACCAGGCATTTTGCTGTGTCAAAGCGATTGCCTTAGGCTGTATGTTTAAAGTTGGGTCACCACAGTTTACAAGAGATTAGAAAAGCCCCCAAATAGAGTGCTGCAGACATTTGGCAGATCAGGAGATAACAGTGAAAGATGAGCACAGGTGCAGTCTATTAGGGACCATTAGTTTATTAGTCATCTGTGATCAGAGTTGTTGGGGCATTCTTCTCTGCCCAGTTATTAGTCATTCCCTGATGAACAATTAAAAGCACCAGATCTGTTACACACTCAGCTAACAAAAAAACCAGCTTATGATAAGGGAACATCATCGTACTTGTTTCTAGTACATAAAGCTTATGTTTCAAAAGCCTTCATTAAGGTTGAAGAAATATCTGGAAGATGCATCGTCTTTACTTGTTGGCATTTTAATGATTGCCCATACATTTTTCTGTTCTGTTTTTTAATAATCTAACCAAATGGCAAAATTTTCTTAGTAGAAAACATGCACTACAGGTGAATTTACACAGTCTTATAAGTAGTTAATCTTACACATAGTTTAAAAAAGCGTCATCATAATTTTTTATTCATCACTGTCAACTTCTGTAATGCTTAGTGGTTGGGGAAATTGTGAAGTCATTAATTACTAACAGCTTAAGAACAAATCAGTTACTGAAGGCATCTTGAAAGCCAATTCTCCAGTGTAGTGTTTCCCTTAATAGCTATGAAGAATTCAGCCTTGGTTTTTAAAATATAAATAGTGAGTTGCAGCATCCTAGCTTGTAGCTAAGAGAATGAAACTGAAATTAAGACTTCTCATCAGCTTTTTCTAAATGAATTCAAAGTATTTCTGTAAGTTTACCTGCTAATAATGGTATTGCACAGAATAAATACTTCTCTATAGGAAGATAATGTTTAGATGAAATGAATTTGAAAACAATGAATTGGTAAAATGTCATTTCAAAGTAAGGTTCAGACCCCTTAGACATTCATTCTGTCTGTTCTGTAAGCGATCAGACTGCTCTGCCACCCCACAACTTTACAACTAGGTATAAAAACTTGCTAGTGCAAACGGTCTTTTAACTTGTACTTCAGAATATAGGAATACTTTTTTAAAAAACAAACAAACGAAAAAGCTCTGGTAGAAGTTTTTGGGATATTCAGAGAATTTTTGGTATTCCCTTAAAGAACAAGCATTCAGTTTCTTCCAATTTGGGGCAGTAATTGTTCTGTATATGGCCTTATAGCTATTACTTTTCATTACGTGGGAATGCATGAAGTAACTGAGTTCTGTTGCTGCTTCTTACTGGCAACTATAAGCAATAATGCCTCATAAAAACTAAGCCAATGCCATATTAAAGCTAGCAGGGTATGTATGCTCCATGTGTCAGGGTCTCTGTTCCAGCAGTTCAGATTAGAAACCTGGTTTCCCACATCGGTTTCTCTCTGACTCTTCATATTCACTTATTCCACAGTTTAATTGCCATCATCTGCCATGAGTGTTGTCCCCCTTGCTCTAACCTGCTCTTTTTATAGTGTTCTCATATTGCTCTTTTAGTTTGTTACACTAAACAAAATTCTGTTTCCCTTTGGTATGGCAGGTGCTGTATTTGTTCCCAATTGTATTAATATGTCTTGGAACAAGTTTCAGTTTGAATTCATCTTCTTTTTGACAGCAGATGATGACATATATAGCTATATTTAGAATTCAAATTGAGATCTCTTCATGGTTTGTACAATGTCATGATTATCTTCTTGTTTCTCTTGGAAACGTCTGTGGTTATGCTCTAGTGTTCCACTAGCCGTTTTTGCAGCTGCCTAGTGTCTTTTCCCACATGATTGACTAATGCCTTGGACAGCTCAGTTAGAAATGGCTGATGACTCTACAAGGAAATCATGAGTACTTGAGTTGGTGCTATGGCATCTTGTCCCTTTTCTATTTTTTTCAGTCCTTAAGGTTGTACAGTTATTTCCACTACAGTGTCCTAATAATTCACTGTATCGTCTGCGACTGTCTTTTGTGGTCCTATCCTTTAAGATTGCTTAGATTTTAACAAATTAAGATTTTAACAAAACATACTGAACAGGACAGTCTCAAAAAATGAGTCTTTGAATATCTCTGTCAGTAACATTTAGCCTGATGCTTAGGAAAGAAAACTTTGTGTAACGCAAACTACTTTATCCATGCAGCATTTTATTACATTTACATCAATGCTCTATTCTCACTTTCAAAATTTGTGCTAAAGCTTTGACTACTATTGAGGTCAAGATTATCCATTTTTTCCCCTGTTATTTATGAGAATTAGATACTTGCTGTCCTTCAATGACATTGTGCTGGTCCAGCCGGTTAGACTTATTAAAAATCACCAGACTTTTGATTAAATATGCCAGTTCCTTTGGAATTCTGAGGTGATAGGTGATAAAGTCATTTGGTTTTTTTCCTCCACTCCCAAATTCTAATTTGAATGCATTAATATTGGCACGGATCCCAGAGCTAGCCTTTGTACCAGTGCACAGAAATCTGAGAATTCCTTATACTTACCTAAGAAAACCATATCTGTTGTATCTAAATACATCATGTATATTTACATTTAAATATATAAGCAGAGCAGTCTAAGCGTGAAGCTCACTGCACCCTAATTGTGAGACAGATCTTTAAAGGGGAAACATTATTTACTGGTGGATGTTTAAGATAAGCAAGGAGTTTATCTTCAGTGTCATTCTAAAAACTGAGAATCTTGTCTGTAGTGGGATATTGCTTCCAGACACTTTTTACTATGATGTTGCAATGAATTTACTTTTAATCTTTTTTTTCTCAACAATTTGCCAGTAGTATTTGCAGTAGGAGGTATCTTTAACAGTATCTACTTTGGGATAATTTTTTACATAAATTTACAGTGATAGTCAAATCGGGGACTTAATTTAGTTATATATATATGTAATTTGGGTCAAACTTGTGCAAATGCAACCTGATATAGGATACATATATTTCAGTCCTGTTGCCTGTATATTTTAGTTATGATTTAAAAAAAAATATTCTGCGTTAGCAAAACTGCAAAGGACGTGAAAAGTAAAGAACATCTGTCTATGGAATTCCTTTCTAAGGAATGACTGCTGTTGAACAGTGAGTTTATACCTGCTATATATTTCTTTTACATCTTTTGCAGTTTGTGTAGTTAAAGGAGTCAGATTTAGGAGGAATGTTGATCTTAGCCTGGCAAGGAGTTCATGTAGAAATTCCGTTTTATTTAAAAGTTGAGAGACATTTTAAAAGCAAGCTAAGTTGGTTACATTAAATAACAATACTACAAAAATAATTCTGTTGAGACTGTTACATCAGGTATACTTCAAGTTGAATAATACTCTGTTACAGCTTGGTGTTTAGGTGATGTGTAAATATTTCTGTGGTTATGGGTTTTTACAGTTGAGAAATGAAATGTTTCCGTATGAGTGTGACAAATCATTGTGATAGAATAGCACAGGAAATATATATTATGCCACTGTGACTTCTATTTTTCCTTTAGTATAGGTAGTCTAGTTCTCTGTCTGTATTTCTTTTCCAAATTAAACCCCAGTTTCTCAGTTCCATTATAGCAATAAATGGTATCCTGGGGTACATTAAAAAGTGCGTGGCCATCAGGTCGAGGGAGGTTATCCTCCCCCTCTACTCTGCCCCGATGAGGCCACATTTAGAGTACTGTGTCCAGTTCTGGGATCCCCAGTTCCAGAAGGACAAGGAACTACTGGAGAGAGTCCCGCAAAGGGCTACAAAGGCAATCAAGGGACTGGAGCACCTCTCTTTATGAGGAGAGGCTGAGACACCTGGGTCTGTTTAGCCTGGAGAAGGGAAGACTAAGAGGGAATCTCATCAATGCTTACAAATAGTTAAAAGGGTGGCTGTCAAGAGGATGGAGCCAGACTCTTTCAGAGGTGCCTGTCAACAGGACAAGGGGCAATGGGCACAAGCTGGAACACAGGAAATTCCATCTCAACATGAGAAGAAACTTCTTTCCTTTGAGGGAGATAGAGCACTGGCACAGGCTGCCCAGAGAGACTGTGGAGTCTCCTTCTCTGGAGATATTCAAAACCCGCCTGGATGCGTTCCTGTGCAACCTGCTCTAGGTCCCTTCCAACACCTGCTATTCTGTGATTCTGTGTGATTCAGATTCTTAGCACGATTGTTCACATCAGCAATTTAAAGAGCACCTAGGCTGAGTATTTGATGTGTATTATTATATTAAACTTGAATAAACCCTTCCAGTCATATTGGAAGAAGTGACAACCACTTCAATCCAATATTTCTCATCAATTATGGCAAGAAAATTGCTCATTTAGACACAGCCTGTATCTCCTAGCCAGGAGAGATTGAAAATGTTTCCCTAGTAGCCTCTGTGTAGCTCTACACATAAGAAATTCAATATTTGTATCTCTAATTTCTTATGGTTAGGTGAAGAAAACATAGAATGTGAAACAGGGTCACAAAGCTATGAACCTTTCTATCACCAAAGGCAGTCTTTAATTTCACAGAATTAGCTTATTAGAAGTGTAGTACACTCAGTTCTGGCTAAAGTCAACACAGTGTTGGCGTGCATATATATATATGTAGTTTAGCATATGAATGGAGGTCTGCTTCCACTGCTTTCAGCTGAGAAATTTGACTGCCTCTTCATGTTGTGAAGAAAACCTATAAACTGTGTAGCTGTTCTCCCTGTCATCAAACCAAAATACCAACTGGGGCCTAATGCAGTGTTTCGTTGTTCTTTGGTTCGCAAATCCAAGCTCAAAATGACTGTTCAAATCTGAGGGTGCTTAAACAAACAAGTTCTGTTTTGTCATGAGTTGGTACCTTAGGATGCAAGCAAGGTAAGAAGGCTAGGAGGTCCTTCCCAGTTATGTCCTACACTGACAGCAGTGATATTACCATGAGCTGGATTTTTATTAGGGTGTTCTTTCAGCACTGTTGGAGTGTTGGTTTTTCTTTGAGAAGTTGGGAGGAGGAGGTTCCCCTCCAGCAGATGCTACCAGATGGCAAGTACTGCTTGCAGTGCTGGGCTGTGTTGACCTCTGCTCTGTTTCAAGGTGACTGTTATATTCTTAGGTTATTCGTAGGCGTAGCAGATTGCTACTTTCAAACGCATCCAAAAATGAGCGAATGTCTAGAGGAAAAATAAATACTGTTTTCAGTTTTCTATTTTTAGTTTAAGTATAGTTCTTACTACTTAATCAAAATTAAGGTTTTTGTCTCTGTCCTTACAATGTACTCAGTCAAGCACCTTCAGGAAACACTGGTCTGTTCACTAATCTCCTCTTTTGAGTCAGGGAGCTTAATGTCCTGTTTGGTGTGGTAAGAGGGCTGTTAGTGGGTCACATGTAGAACTCTTGTCTTTACAGTCCTGTCTGTATTTAAACCATACTTAGTTTCTGCATTTCATTTAACAAAGAAATAGTCTTGTTGCTGCTGTCCTGATGCAGAAAAATCCACTGGGGATGGTACGTTGCTTAACTGTGAAGACTGCTTTGAACTTATCTTCGCCAAGCAGTTGAGTTGGGGATTTAGAGGGTATTTATCTTGCAACCAAGCATTTATTGAAATGAAGGTCAAACTGCCTTCTAACAGAAATATCAAAATGGATTAAGAAGCTGACTAGAAAGAGGACATGGAAGGAAATCCAAGATGAATTTAAAGGTTGTTTGTACCATGTGGAAGACCACAGGTGTTCCTCTAATGAGGCTTGTTATTTGAAAGGGTTTGCTACATTGCCAGTATTAGAAATTCAACAACTTGACTTACGCAGACTTACCTTCCCTTTCTTCTATTACTTCCTGTGTACTTCCGTATATGATGATAACATGTACCCCAAATTAATCCAATGAAGTGCTTTAAAATCTTTGGGATGAAGGAAAGCGAACGTATTCAAACAAGTACAGAAGAGCAGTCAAGATCTAGTTTATTTGCTGCTTTAGCGAAACCAAACCCCAGTGAATAAATGAATTTTAAGTAACATGCAGATGTACGCACAAAGCATATTTTTAATTCTTACAGGAAAAAATATGTCAAACTCTTAGATCTTTTTTTGAAAATCAGCCATATAAATAAGTTTGGAGATTGCTTTTGTCATAAAATACAGTAAATTGTGATAATTTGTTATGCCTTTCTGTTACAGATTAACTAAACTCCAGATATTGGAACTTAGAGAAAACCAGTTAAAAATATTGCCAAAGTAAGTATGTATGACATTTATTTAAACTACTTTGGAGGCTGTTTTCTGCAGTTATACTAATAATCTAGTGCATATTGAAAAGTAGGTCACAGCTTGAAATGTGTAGCTAGTAACTGGACAAAGTTCTCACAAAGAACTTTCCTTTCATACTGCTGAAATTGTATCTCACTTCAGACTGACTACACTACCTATTTGGAGATTTGCTTATTTGGACATATATTTTTTTAAATTATTTATTTTCTGTCCGTATCCAGCTTCTGATCCACCTGTTGAGCTCTTAAGTCAGCATGTGGGCACGTCAGGATGATTGTTCTGAGGTGTCTGATGTTTCTTGCATGCAGTGTTGTATGGGTACCCAAATGCCTGTCAGTATGGTTCAGATGGCTGAGTGTCTGAGACTTAGGCATTGGTAATTGAGGTCAGTATCTCTAAATCAAATGTGGAGTTTGAGATGCTTGCTCAGAATGACTGAGGGAATGGGATTCACATGACTTGAACACTGTGTTTAGTTTGTAGTAACAACTTGTTACTGTGTTGCATGGAATCTATTATGCCATACCTATTCTATAATGCAACTGGCTTGTTCAACATAATGGCAGTGTATTCCTTGGATGTGTTTTCAGTAAGAGTAAAATAGTTCCGGTAATTCTCACAGGATTTGTCTTAACTGTAAACCCAATTGCACCTCTTAAAATCTAGCCTATTTCTAAACACTGCTTTGCAATTCTCACTTATTTCATCAGCAAAGCCCAGGCTGATGGTGTTGTGGTTCCTGCTGTTCCTATGAGCTAGAGAAATGCTCTGCATTTTCACACTTGGACCCGGAGGTCCAAGCTGGTTAACAGAGGTATAAAAGGTTAATGAAGAGAGAAAGAGAGGGGTTGTGAATAACCAGCTGTGGAGTCCTGAGTGGATTGTGGTGTGCTGCAAAAGGGGTCCTCCTCTGGCAACAGAAACCAGTAAAGAGAGCTACTGGTTGTGGTGTGTAAGATGATGTGGTGGAGAAGAGGAGGAGCTAACAATTGACTATTCACTCTGTCCAGCTCATATGCTAGCAGAGACTTGCTTGCAGTAGGCTGAAGTGTGAATTGCTAGCCCTTCAAATACAGCAGCCAGTTTTCTTAGTGACTGTAGCTAATTATATGCCTAAGATGTGACGAAGGGCTAGGTTCCACTGGAATTCCCTTTTCACGTGGCTAGATACTGTACTGTAGTGTCTGCTGTATAAAGATGTCAGAACTCATACCTGGAATGAAATGTATAGCATCAGAAAGTGTGATTTTAAATCTTCCAAGTGTGAAGCAGTCTTTTCATTCCTGTGATATAAATACTCTCTATCCTCATTTGCTCTTTTTGCTATAACTAATTTTCAGTAGAAAAAGAATTAGAAGACATGTCATTTGGGGTAGTAGCTCTGTAAATTAAGTTACTCCCAACTGAGGAACAGTAGCTATAATTAAAACTTATAGCTAATACAGGTTTTGTTTATAAAATTACTGTGACCTTAATTGCCATAATTAACACTAATAGCATGAGTTACATGCGATATTTTAAAGAGAGTAGTTTACAGAGGTCTCTTGTAGTGATAAGAGACATTTAAACAAATGCTGTAGTGTATTTAAGCCAAACATAACTTCTGTTGAATTTGCTGGGAATTTTTTTGTTGACTTCAGTGTTCTCAGGGTTTCATCCTTGCTGGAAAACTAAACAGCAGCTGTCATGAAGATGTTTTCTGCAGCACCTCTATAATGATCTACAGTACATACTGAGATGCCACCTTTGTTATTTTGTTCTGGTACTCTTGTGGGTCAATTAAGGGAGATTAAAGCTATTGATACTACTTTTTTTTTTTTTTAAAATTATTTAATCACATTAATATGCATTTTGCTACAGTGAGGTACTAGAAACTCAAGTTGTTTATGTATGATGTACACTGGGGAGAAAGTTTGTTGTGGTGTCCATGGTATGCAAGATGTGAATCTGCCTTTCCAGGTAATACAACCGTGCAGCAGTTGACCTGGCCAACAAAGGCATCCATGGCCTGGCTTTAATATTATTATTAGAACAGAAGCTGATGTGAAATTCAAACTTATGCACTTTTCCAAATCTGAGTACATATTTTAAAAGGAACATGCTAAACGACTTTGAACAGTGTAGAAAAACAAAAGGCTTTTTTTGAAGCTAATAAAATGTAGCAGTATGAGCTAATACTTTTTGCTATAGAATACGACAGTCTTTTCTTGTCTCTGTCACTCTCACCTTTTTAATATTGTCATACTTAAAGCAAGTTCTTTTGTGTTTGTAATCAGAAATGTATTGGGATAAATGTCTACAAAATCAGCTAGCCCTCTTGCTGAATTAAAAATGCACATAATTTTTAACACTAAAGCAGAAAGCACTTGAAAGAATGTTAATCAAAACGGGTAATGAATGCCAACACACTAAATCAAACTTGCTTTGTGCCAAATGCATCATTTTGCTTTGAGCTTATCCACAGCCAGAGACTGCAAAACTGGCAGTATTGTCATGCAAACCAGCTCAATGAAAATATTTCTACTGAAACAAAAGCAAAATTACACAAGACTATTTTAAAGGCATTTATCTGATAGGTTGGGTCTAGCTGAAAGTTGGGAAAATAGTCCAAAGGAAATATAAAGAGTTTATTTTTTATTTTTTTTCCCAAACTTCTGTCTGTTGTCTAATTGTCAATAAAAAGAGCAGCCTTTTTAGAAAGAAGCAAGTTGAGAGTGTAATTATTATGATTCAGGGCCCACTCTTGGCTATCACACACACCTCTTGAATTGTATATTGCTTGGAGTAAGCTGTAGTGTTAACCTTGGTGAAGCTGACTGTTTACAACATCAGAATCTGAAGCATAATTTAGACTACCTGATCCCTTAGTGTTGGACTGATTTTGCAGCAAGTTCAATAATATGAATTATGAAACAGATTTTTCAGTTTATGGAAGAGATCACATAGTGCAGTGGCAAAGACAGAAATAGGTGTAACTCAGTGATCTAGTAAATTTTTGTTTCCAGTTCTGTATTCGTCTTTCTTTAGCCCTGAGTTTTCCTGTTACTTTAACATTATTGAAAGCTTTGTTTGCATTTTGTCTGAATATATAGTCACTCTATAAACAATACAGAAAAGCAAAGAAGTGTTAGTCATAGAATAGCTGAAATGCTATGGATTAAGTGACAGTGGGGAAGGGGAGGAAAATAGATATCTGAGACCCTGGTCTTGCAAACACATTTGTGTGTGTTTTACAGTTGAGTGGATGTGTTTGCTAAATTACAGATGTTTTGGCAAGAAAAAAAAACAACCCAAAATCAGTGAAGTCTCTTTATCATATTGTTAATGTTACATAACATCAATTTTGCAGATACTTGAGAGAGACTTGCAGATATTTGCTTTGGTTCCAAATGGTAAGGCCAGGACCATTGATGAAAAACTGTAACAGCATTTTTATTTTATTTTATTTTTAGTAGGATACTGAAGATTAAGGCACACATGGGAAATCTTGAGTTGCCTTAGAGCCGTTAAGGATGTAGCACTAGCAGGATGGGAAGGGAGCACCTAGATCTTGGATTGGAATTTGTGTATCTAGTGTAATTTGGCAGCAGGGAGAAGAGCTTTGTTGCTTAGATTCTGTGAATCTGGTGTTAACTGTGTTAAACAGTTCGGCCTCAGAGTTGAATGGTGTACAGGAGGAAGGAAAAAAAAATAAAATCACTTGGACCTAGGAATGTGTTGATCTGGGAGATTGATGTGCGTATGTGTGTCTGTGTGTGTGTATCCTTACCAAGCTATTAAAGTAAAAAGAGAAGAGTTTGTGTTGAACTGAAAGAAAAAATTCTCTTCATCTTAAGCCACAATAGAAAATCCATCTGACTTTGTTTCAATTCAGCCTCATCAAAATTCAATTAAACCAGATTCAACTTTTTTCATTTTGTTGGTGTTACCTGTTTTTTTTTTTCCTTCACCTTTAAAATTTGTATGTATTTCTAAGTTGAAAATTCAGTTCAAATAAAAATCAAGGCACTGTCTTAAAACTGTTGAAATGAAAGGACTATAAAAATGTTAAAAGAAGCCACTTTAAAAATATTCATTTATTGAAACTAATGTAGCAAATTAAATCCCTTATAGCTGTGGATCTCCCTTAATCTTCTTTTTGAGGCCAAAATTTAGATCATCAGTGAAGTTTTGGACTGCTCTCTCTAGTAGCCCACAGTCTCACTAACCTGGCTTGGAAACAGGGGAAATATAAAGCCCTTTTAAATTAAAGTCATCAGTAAAAGTACAGTATGGTGTTGCCCATGAAGTTTTGAAAGCTGCAAAGTTATATGCTAGATCCTTTAAATGAGTCTTCAGCTGTGCTTCTGGAAGACTTATTGGGGCAAATTTGCTAGCAACATATGGCACTAAAGTTGGTATTGGCATGGTCTCATAAAGCTCTGAGAAAGTTGTCTTACATGGTATTTCAGAGGGACTTCGATAATTTATTTTAGAATTGGAAAATTAATTTTAGCAGTTGGTAATCATTAAACGAGGAAAAATGTTTCTCGGATTCTTCTGGAAGTAGACTTTTCATGTATTTTTTTCGTTTTCTTCTTTGAGACAGTGGGAATGTGAGTTAAAAGCTTTCCCCTAATGCCTGTGTATACTATGTGTGCAGTGCACAAAATGGCTTCTACTTTTGTCTTGATCATGTCTTTACCTGCTTTTGCTAAATGTTGGGTTTGTCCCCAGCATAATTACTATAATGCCATGAAAATCAAATCTATAGACAAATGTTGAGTGTAATCCTTTTGGGAGATTATTTCAGGAATAATAGTAATAATCACATTAACTTACTTTTAATAAATATGACATTTTTCAATATAATGTAATTTTTGAACTGTATATTTAGAACACCTGTAATAGTGTATTTGAAGAACAACTGAAACTGAATAGCTGCATAGTGCATCTTGTGCTTGTGCAGATGTTCTTTAAAGATATTAGTGTTCATACATATATTCTGACGGTATAAAAGACTCTACCATTTAGAAGCTCTTAGATTTAGGTCTTCCAGAATTTGATAGTACGTACACTCTTACAGCTTATATTTGAAAGTATTCGATATTATTTATTGTTCTATGGAAATCCATTATTAAATAAATACACAATATAATGCAATCCGAGGGATTCATAGGCACTTGGAAAATATTTTTAGATAGTACTGCTGTTGACTGAAGTACCGATCATGTAGACCACAGTGTGCAGTGACAGATGATGTCTGTGGGATCCCCAGAGTAAACTTCAAATGAAGGAAAGATTTTGCCAAAACGCAGCTTGAAATAATGGATTTTACTTTATTTCAGTCATTGATTTAATCTTTACCATAAGTTGGCTTAAAGAGTATTGATGTGTCACAAATGCCAATTTAGTTAGCTGATTTGTTGTAGGACTAGAGAAATGATTAGGATTCCAGACCACATTGTATGGAAGCAACTTTGTCAGCAGCCTGGAGAGGTAGAAAGTGTTGTTGGTTACTGTAATTCAACAGCGGTCTTTTCTGTTTTAGCTGATCATTAGGCAGTGGTCTTTCTCTGGGAGGAAAACATGTAGTTAACCAGCCTTTGGCTGCTGAGAAGACATTGTGATTGTAGGTGAAAAGCTGAAGCAGTCAAAAGAAGAGTAACTTCATTGAGTTACTCTCCGTCATAAAGATTACTCTAGTGGTCTTAGTTTTTGTAAACTAATCTGTAGATGAGTTTGTGTGTACTCTGTGTGACAGTCAACAGACAGCATGATCATTACTACGTGCCTGGTTGAACAATGTGTGAAAAAATTGGCCTTCATTAGATATCAGTCCAGTTACAGAACAGCATAAACATCACTACTTAATACTGATTAAAACAATATATTTGTATGAATACAGGAAGATTGGATGTAACTGGTATTTTCTTAAATCTAATTCTTTATTTATTCCCTTCCTGTGCAGAACCATGTCCAGACTGACTCAGCTGGAGAGACTGGACTTAGGAAGTAATGAATTCACAGAAGTGGTGAGTTTTGTCCTAGTAACAGAGCTTTGTATCTTTTATAAATCTCTTTATCTTTTAATCTATTTTTAATCAATATGAAAATGTAAACATCATCTTAAGAGTTCTGCTAGGGAGCAATTATTATGTATACCTCATACTGCTTTATGGAGCCTGTTATAAAAACTATGTGCATATTCTGATGAATATGAATATGTTTTTCCTCAATTTGAAAATAACACTCTGTAGTGTAGTGTGGTTACTGTACTGGTAAAAAATTAATGGTAATATGTGTTTGAATTGTAAACATAATTGTTTGGCTTATAATAAATTCTAAACACTTACTGGTTATCATGTATTTAATGTTGCAAGTTCTTTATAAGCTGTGCATAACCTGCTTTTATTATTGTGTACAAACTATTTAGATCCAAGGGAAACTATATTAATTTTAAGTTTGAATATTGTTCAAAATAGTATTTACAGTTAAGGTTCTCAGATTTTTCCTTCAGCATGTATAGATTTGTTTCCTGTTCATGATCTCACAGTCAAATACATCTTATGTTTACAACCACTACTTCTACAAGTACTTTCCTGGATAAAGAAATTTAAACAGAAGTAGAGTGGAATGTACTGACCTGCCATATAATAAAGTCAAGCCTTTGTGTGCCACCAGTAGGTCATGCAGAGCTGAACACTTGCCTATTTGTATGGTTCGGAAGATAGGGAAGTGTATTTAAGGAATTTGTTCATTAGTATGATTATACTTCCAGCCATTACCGTTACTGCTATATTCTCATTACAGCATAGATATTCATGTGGGAGCCTCAAAACTGACATACCCAGGCACATGTTAAGCAGTAACAGCCAGGAACTAAGTATAGGCTGCAAAATTACCTGTTTGGGTATATTTTGGGCTGATTGCTTCATCTCTGCCAGCCTTTTAGCTACAAGAGTCAACCATTGGTAATTTATTTCATTAAGATCTTTTGGTAAAAACACAGAAAGGTTTGAAAATACTGTTTTGGATAAAGAGCTGTCTTGAAAGGTAGTTAAGATTTTCTCTTGGAAAATGAATTATTGGGAGTCAGGACTGCAACTTATGCAGGAAATGCCGTATATTTACAATATAGTAGAATTGAGTTCTGCATTTACTGAACTTGCTTGTAGTTGTGAAGGTGCAGCAGCACCTGTTTTGCATTACTTTCTTAGGAGGGAAGTTTAAATAGGAAAGCATATGCAATGTGGATGTTTGCCAAGAAGTGGTCTTTCCCTGATATGTAAGATACTTCTAACAATAAGTTGTAATGGAAGCACGATCCTGCACTTCACTTTATGGATGGATTGGTTTGCTTGTATCACGCAGATGCACCCTTTGTTGTTAGAAAACTAAAATTTGTTTTTGTTTTCCCCAAAACCACAAGATGTCTGCGGTTTTTGAAAAATAGGTCTTCTGATCTGATGGAATTTAAGGATTTTTAGACCTCCTCCATGAGAGAGGAAACAATACACGTAACATTTATTTATTGTGTGCTCCAGTTGAAAAATAATACTTTCTGTTAAAAAAAGCCCCAACAAACAAACAAAAAACCCCACTTCCTGTAAGGATTATTTAGTGCTGTGATCAAGTTCTCAAAAGGTTTTTGTATATCTAGTATATATTTACATTTCAAAAAGTGAATTATCTGGGGTTTTTGATGACCCAGTTAAACAAGTGTGTATAACAGCTATAATAAGACATTACTTAAAGTTGCAGTAGATGAATCACTGAAGTTTTTTTTTGCATTTCACTATATTCTGTATGAAGTTTTTAACAAAAGGATTACCTTTACAGCCTGAAGTACTTGAACAACTGAGTGGGTTAAAGGAATTTTGGATGGATGGTAATAGACTAACACTTATTCCAGGGGTAAGTCCTTTTCCTGTGTTGAACATTTAATATTTTAATTTACAGTGGTATTTGCTTTGTCAGTTGTCATATATGTTAAAGTTGCTCTGTAATTTTAATGTTACTGAAAGTCAAAAGGCTAAATGCCACTTAAATGCTTAACTAGTTTACTGAGAAACTGATACTGGTCATGAGAGTCGAGTACACAGCTTTCCTTTCACTGAAAGTTATATACCTCTCATCTAAAAATTATGTTCTAATTCAGGAAAGGGGTACAAATCCTAGATCAAATTTATGGTTCACTGGTCCTTCCAGAAAGGGATTATTTTGTGTTAGACAGCAAGTGGAAATTTACATGATAAATGTGTTGTGTGAATTTTTACTGGTCATGGCTGTAAAGCAAGCAGTTCCGGTTCAGGTGCCTCATATACAGGAGCATAGCCAGTTCCTGAGAAAATGTCCTTTTGACTTTGTCTGGGTTCCTGACATCTCTCAAAATTACATGGGGTCCAGGCTGATGTATTATTTCAGTACTTGTGAACCTGTGCTTATGTTCTAGTAAACGAATATTTGAAATTTGGGAAGTAGCTGGTCTGTTTTCAGACTTAAAATCCCTAGCAGTCTTCTGACACGAGGCTTTCTTTCCCGATCAGTAGTCTTCTCTACCATCTTTCCTCACTTCAGCTAATTCTTCCTTGAAGAGTTGAGTGGATGTAGTGAACATTTCTACTTTACAGTAAAAGTAAAACTGTATTTGTGAAAGTGATTGCATCTTCTCTGTGAAGATTTTAGTAGCGTGCACAAATCTTCAAGCTTGTTCTTGGTTTATACGGAAGGGTAATACAAGCTTGTATTTTGGCCTGTTGCTTCAGTTTAGTATAATAAGGGATTCATTGTTCTTTTTGAGGTTAAATAAGATGCAGTGTTACACAAAAGACAAAAATAAGCATTAAAAGGCTTTACTGGGGCCTAATGATGCCCTTATGTTACCTATCTCTGTCTGAAGTTTGTTCTAAAGCTTCAGTTACTTGATTCACAGTAATTGATCAAACTGTTGAATTTGCAGCAGACTGACTTTAGAGACCAGCGGAATCACTGTAGTGTGTCTGTGTGTGTGGAAAAACATCAACTGTCTGTATCTGCACAAAATACTTCATTGTAAAGCTTGGGTATTTTGAATAAAATTGTGTTTCAGCTCTATAAATAGGTTTTCTCTTTTTGTCTGGCACTATACTTGAGAGACAACTTGTTGTCAGACCTGCTGGATTTTTTGTTTTGAACTTGCACTTTCTAGAATGCATTATTTTCTCTTGTTTTTAGTTCATCGGCACTTTGAAACAGCTGACCTACTTGGATGTTTCTAAAAACAACATTGAAGTAGTTGAAGAAGGTATTTCAGGTTGTGAAAGCCTGCAAGACCTGCTGTTATCCAGCAATTCACTTCAGCAACTGCCAGAGTCTCTTGGTTTGTATTTTACTTTAATTCATGTTCTTAAAAGCTTATAGTTCAGACACAGAACACTTGAAAATAGACAAATGCCATTTTAGATTTAAGTTTCAACGATTGAAAGTGCCAGTTCTGGATGAAACTGTAATGCGTAGATGAAAATTTATATTTGTTTTGGAGTTATCTCCCTTATGGGGAAAGGCTGAGAGAGCTGGGACTCTTTAGCCTGGAGAAGAGAAGGCTGAGGGGAGACCTTATTACTACTTACAAATATCTAAAGGGTGGGTTGAAGGAGGATGGAGCCACACTCTTCTCAGTGGTTCCTAGTGACAGGACGAGGGGCAATGGGTGCAAGTTGGAACATAGGAAGTTCCGTTCCAACACACGAAAAAACTTCTTTGATTCTGTGATTCTGTGATTCTGTGATTCTGTGATTCTGTGATTCTGTGATTCTGTGATTCTGTGATTCTGTGATTCTGTGATTCTGTGATTCTGTGATTCTGTGATTCTGTGATTCTGTGATTCTGTGATTCTGTGATTCTGTGATTCTGTGATTCTGTGATTCTGTGATTCTGTGATTCTGTGATTCTGTGATTCTGTGATTCTGTGATTCTGTGATTCTGTGATTCTGTGAGTGTTCTTGACTTTATACAGTAGTTTGTAAATGGATAAGAATCTGTTGACTGTAACAGAGTAAAAGAAAAAAATTTTTTTCTTCTCCTCCCCACCCACCACCCTTTGCTGGCAAACTAGTTCTATAAGCTCATCTGCTTATTTCCTTATGTATACAGCTTTATAGGCATGTCAGGGAATACAGACAATGTGGTTGCTTGCCCATTAAAACTAAGCTTAAAATTAAAACTAAGCTTAATGAACTCAAATGTCCTTTTTGATTTACTTATTTTATTACAGGTTCCCTGAAGAAGGTAACAACGCTTAAAATTGATGAAAACCAGTTAATTTATTTGCCAGACTCCATAGGAGGGTAGGTATTTCACCTGAATAAAAGGTTGAGTTGCCTTTCTGCACACTTCTCTGTTACAATGGCTCCTCTCTTGAAACTTTTTACACCTACTTGATTTAACTTCTTCTACATGTCAATGCCTTAATAAAATTGAAAGCAAGTGCTTTCATATCTTCTAGTTTGCAGGATACATGTTCTTTATGTATTATTTGATATAAAAAGGCATATGTTCCTCACTTACTAATGCAGCCACCAATCACTGTGGCTGTGGTAAGTATTGCAAATGATTGAACCACTGACAAAAAGCTTGTAAAAGGTGAATCCAAACACACACATTTATCTCTTTTTATATCATAAGGAGAATTTTCACCTGTTCATTACACGTTGAGCAATTTAATTTAAAATTCACTAATGACAGCAAAAATAATTGATTCAGAATTAAGTGCTATACAAATGAAGTGTGTTTATTCCAATTTCTTTTCTCCCATTGTGATTAATGTAGGTTATCTTTTGTTGTCAGAATTTACAAAATACTTCTTCACTGCCAGATTCTTAGGTTCACTGTTTCTGACTCTTGCAATGCTTTTCTTGTCCATAAACTACACTCAACTTCTGTTAGGCTATGCTCTATCCCATTCTGCATGTTTTCAGTGCCTTGCACTAGCACATTTTCATCTAGTACATAAACATTTGATGTTGCTGACTCCCCTGTTTTCACTGAATGCTGTTTTATGAGGGCAGTGTAAAGGAGATGAAAAACAGCAAACCAAACAAGAAAAAACCCCAGACCAAAAAACCCCACAATCAACCAACAAACAAACAAAAAAAAACCCAAAACACAATTTAGGCAACTAGTAAAGGATTTTTCTTAGATTTGAATTCCCTTGGGTTTCAGAGTTTTATTTTTAATTAAATTTGAGATTTGTAATTAATAGTGGTATTAGCTATTTGAGATTTGTAATTAATAGTGGTATTAGCTTTATTTAAAATTAAATTATTCAATTAATGTTGGATGAATTAACCTGTATAGAGGAGTAATTTTTTTTTGCAGGTTAACATCATTAGAAGAACTGGACTGTAGTTTCAATGAGATTGAAACATTGCCTTCATCTGTTGGGCAGCTCTCTAATATAAGGACATTTGCTGCAGATCATAACTTTTTAACACAACTGCCATCAGAGGTATGTATTTAATTACAAAACTAAAATTAATTTTTAAATGTATTTTAAACTATATAGTCCGTGCAACTTTTGGATAAGAAGTTAATTCTTGAGTAGATTTTCTTTGTGTATGTCTTTAAAGGAGGATGTACACAAACAGAGAAGTTTTCAAATTCTGAATTTTTTTAATCAAGAAGTGGAAATTTGTTGCTAGTGTATTGAAACTAAAAGAAGTTTTAATACATAAGAATAACTCTATACTTTTTGGCCAAAACCAGCTGTAATACTAACTGTTTTAAAACAGTAAAAATTTGCATATTTAGAGTTGTGAAGATGAATTAATTCTTCGCGTTTTTTCTCAGATTGGAAACTGGAAGCATGTAACAGTGTTGTTTCTGCATTCTAATAAGCTTGAATTTCTCCCTGAAGAAATGGGTGATATGCAGAAATTAAAAGTCATCAATCTGAGCGACAATAGGTTTGTGGATGCATTTATTCAAGTAGAAGTTGTATAAAATACAATAATAATGTAGATGTATTGTTATGAATATATTATGCTGCCTTTCCTTATCTCACGCGCAGCTTAGAAGCTGACGGAGATGCATGTATTTAACGTATTACTGTATTCTGGATCTTGCTGTTGCATCGTATTGAGCTGTCTTTATTTTAATGATTTGGCATGTGGCACATGCATTGAAGTACAGCTTCAATATGTTCATGATTGTTAGCATGTATTTTTCTGGGGAATTAGTTTAGTTATTTTCATAAAACTTTTCTTACTTAAAAGTTAATAGCTTCCTGTATTGCATATGGAGGACACAAAACAGTATCACAGTATAAAGCGCTTAAGTACACTGGGGAAGGGGGGCAAAGAGAGTTGTTTTTATTAGAGCTGGTCATTAAAAACTGATAAAACATTTCTCTTTTGGGAAATGCCAGCTGGTAGTATTGAAATATATTGGGACAGAGAAGTCTGAGCTCTCCCTCCTGTTCTGCCAGTCCAGCTTCTCTGTACTCCATCCGTAGCTTGGTTTATCCGGTAATGCCAGAGCTTCCATTATCCAGGGTAGCCCGTTTCCCACACGCCTACTTTGGGAAAAAAACAACTGTTTTCAGGTGTTGCACTTTTTTCTTAATCGACGTGCATGTATAGTGAAGGATAAAATGCTGAGGATTCAGATTAATTAATTCAGGTTAATTGTCTTCAAAATTGTATTCAAGTCACTGAACAGAGTTAAATTTAAGTTCCATTGTCATTTTTTATGCTGCTTGCTAAACTGGCCAGGTTTTTTGTTTGCTTTTTTGAATTCCAGGTATAGCTTTGAATCTAAATTAAATGCTGTTGCCTTTCAACTGTAAATGATTATTAATTTAACTATATCTGTAAATGTCCTTTTTAAACATTTTTACAGGCTAATGCAGGATTGCTTCTTAACAGTCTTAAAAGTATTGGTAAATGTACTTACGTAAATTCTTGTTGTAATTCACAGACTGAAGAATTTGCCGTTTACCTTTACAAAACTGCAACAGCTCACTGCTATGTGGCTATCAGACAATCAGGTGAACTTTTTTAAAACTAAAAATAAATGATTGTTGACTTTCTTCCTAATGGAATTGACAAGTACAGAGCCATCTGTTAAATTGTGAGACCTGGTACTGTGTATATATATGAGTACTTCCTTGACATTACTGTGTTGGTTCTCCTGAAATAAACATCGCCGAGCCTACCTGTCTTTGGAGACTTCCGTGCTTCTAGCAAAGTTATGTGCTGTTAGGAAATACCATTTGACAGATGTTGGGGTGTTTTGTTTTTGTTTTTCTCAGTTCAGGCTTGTTTACAGACGAGAGTTAGTGCTTGATAAGCTAGTACTTGAATGTGTAGCATGCTGTTTCTTCCACAACTATACTGTTGGGGAAACGTCGCATGCCTTTTTTTTGAGCTAGGTTTCTTGCCACCCTTTTGAACTCTGTGACTGCCCAAGTTTCAAGCTATTAAGCAGTAACTCATGTGCGTGTGGCTTGTATTTTTGCTGTGTATTGAAGCCCTCTGTACTATGCTGATTTCCTAAATGGCATTAAGGTGTACAGGGCCTCCAGAAATCCACTAGCCTCAGATGTAGTATAATGAAAGCCCTTTTACTAATACAGTAATTTAAAAAATCCCCTGCCTTTCTTTGTAAAGGGTAGGGGATATTCAATCTGGTGTTAATATGAAAAACTGAGTAAAAATTTTTCTCTTTATATCCTTGTCTGCAGCTTTAAATGGCCAGATATTTCTGTGTATTCCAGATCAGCCTGCTTTGGGATAGTAATAAGTCCTAGCAAGAAACTGGGTTATATTTTGAATATCCAGTGTTTGCTTTGCTCTTAAAGCTGTTACTGAGTTTCAGTTCTCAGTCAAAGCCAGTCATCAATCAACATGTTAATAACTTCATTCTGTGAAAATTATTCAGAGGAGAAATTATTTAAAACAAGACAAGAGTAGTCTTCAAAGAAATAGGACAGGCATGTTCTGTGATATGTAGATCATATTTACTTTTTTACATATATATTCTCATAACATATCCTTCTTTTATTTGCTTCCTAGTCTAAACCACTTATCCCTCTTCAAAAAGAAGCTGACCCTGACACACAGAAAGCAGTGCTTACTAATTACATGTTCCCCCAGCAACCAAGGACTGAGGATGGTAAGAATTTCTGAAATACCCTGTCAGAATGCTCACTTTCGAAAATAATAGTGGGAAGACTGTTCAGCTAATATGATTTTCACTAGATAATACTTAAATAGAAATTTGAAGTAAAATCCTAAGCGATGAAGAGTTACATCTGAAGAATAAAAACAGTCACTAAACGTGACCTACATATTGGTAAATTCTAGGTGAAACTGTTTCAGTGAGCGAGGTGAGGAACGGACTGGTGGGGTCATGTTCTGCGATGGTTGCCACTTCACAGTGTGACACCCCGTTTCATTCCAGCAGAACTTAATGGTTTGGGGTGAAGTTCTCCTTAGCAGGTGTCTGCTTCAGACTGACTATTTTAACGGAATGTTAGACAAAAAGTTTCCTCCATTACCAAGTACACATTTTTGGAAAAGTATATAGCATTCTGTGCTTTATTTTAAAATTAAAAAAAAAAAAAATCAGTCCGGAAAAAAAGCGTATTGCTCACATTTAGTTTGAACTGTTTTATAAAAGTTTAGGCCCAAAGTATTAAGATGTGCCAGAAAGTTATTTCTGCACACTTGTAAATAGTTAGGAAAATAAGTAACATTAAATGAGTAACGTCGTCAAAAAAAAGGGAAAGAGAGTTAGATCTCTTTATTTCTTCACTTTCTTTCTCCTGCAGGCAAAAGAAAAAAGCTTGTGCTGCTTTAACAGAAATGGAGGGGGGCACATATCAATGGAGATAATTGAAAGCTGACAAGTGGCAACATTTGCTGTTCCATGGCACAAGTGTCTAGTACACTGAGAGAGGAGTAATCAAAAATACCGGCAAAAAAAGTACATTGTACATCACTTTTAGTGCCTTCTAATGCAGATAATGCATCTGCAATACCTCTGATAGAATGCAAGAATTATAAAATCGTTTGGAGATTCAGTGAAGTTCTAGATCATTCCTGGAAGCATTTTCTCTGTTTGAACTTTTTTTATCTAGGTGCCAGGGTTTCTTTCTGTAAACGAGGAAAGGGCTGCTTGTTTGGCTTAAGTTGACAGCATACATGCCTCTGAGGTGGTCATTCCAGATGATTCTTTTATCAAGTTCTTTTTTTGGTCAGGAATGATTTCAGTGATAGTGAAGTCTATTAGAATATTTTCAGATGTGTTAAAATTTTAAGTTTATCCAATAAACACAGAGTAACAAATATTCCAATGCATTTGTTGAGGCCTATAATTGAGTATTTTTCTATTTCAGGTATAGAAGTAGTTAATATGAATAGTCTTGGCATTGCTAGCGATGAATATACATTTGCTGGGGCAGTGGTGGCAGATTTATTAGACTATTTGGCATGCTAAAGTAGAACCTGGCTGATGTAACAAAAGGCATGGAGACATGCTAGCATAAGACAGTGGGCACCCAAAAGATTTTTATTATCTCTTGTAAAATTAAGCAAGAAATACTTGGTAAAGCTCCTGTCATTTGTACAACTTCTGCAAAATCGTGTGTTTACCTTAAGCATTAGATGCTTTAGTTTTTTTTCAGGATTAGTGCAGGATTTTTTCAGGATTAATGCAGGGTTTTGTCACTAAGTCATTCTTATTCTTCATTTTTAAATTTTCATTAAATGAAATCACGTGAATGCTCTTAGTGCTTAATGAGACCACCTCACTGAAATCAGGCTGTATAAATCTTTATTATTTACATTTATATAAATGCATACACATTTTCATATGTATACATATATATAATACATATACAATACTTTGCAGCAGAGAGTTCTGCTGAAAATGTTCAAGTGTAAGTATTAAGACTAGTGTACAGTGGGCTGTATGAAGGTTTTTAATTTAATGAAAAGAAAAGGATTTTACTATCATAAAAATATATCCAAGTTCATAAAGCAGTGGCAGTGCAGCTATTCTTCAACTAATGGTGGTGCTAGCCTCTTATCTTTTAAGAATGCATACAAAAGCAGACCAATCCCATCCAAGAGAAAGAAAAAGAGGATTTTTATTTCGTATAATGTATCCTATTCTTATGAGAGTCTGTCTTTTTTTTTAGTTATGTTCATATCTGATAATGAAAGTTTCAATCCATCTCTGTGGGAGGAACAGCGGAAACAGCGTGCTCAGGTGGCATTTGAGTGTGACGAAGACAAAGATGAGAGAGAGGCACCACCTCGGGTTAGTACTGAGTTTTTCTTTTAATATTTGGTGCTTCCCTCCCTTATATCCGCACCCCTGAATCCCATCCTTTTCCTTACTTTGGCTGTGGATTTTGCTCTGCTGAAGAAATCAAGTCTTCAGTTATTAAAGAGTGTAAGACTATCTAACAGGATGAAACACCATGGTGTTTTTTTTTTTTTCACTAAATCACTTAAAGTGGAGCACAAGAGAAAAACCCAGCTGATGGAAAGCAATGTAGGGCATAACTACGAGACTGCCTGACTGGTGGTGCCATGGAGAAGGATAGTGGGAAAGCACTGATTAATCCTGTTTTTTCTTTAAATAAATTACAGTTGCCATAATTCTTCCTGCTTGCAATCAATGAACACATTGCGGGGGGGAGGGGGGGGGAGGGCAGGGCAGCAGGAAGCAATTCATAATCTTGCTGGGTTTTTTAAACTTAAGTCTGTATCCATGCACATAGACTTGACCAGCAAAGTGGAGGTCCTGGATTGTTCAGTGCTTTGTCCTAATTCATTGTCTGTTTTAAAGTTGATGTTTAAATTATGGAGTTTAATTAAATGTAGAACACTATTGCTTTTGTTATACAGGAAGGCAACCTGAAGAGATATCCAACTCCATACCCTGATGAACTGAAGAATATGGTCAAAACAGTCCAGACAATTGTGCATAGGCTAAAGGATGAAGAATCTACTGAAGATATTGCCAAGGAGTCAAAACGAGAAAGCCAGACAGTTTCTGTAAAAGATGTGGGGGTAAAGGTTAGATATAGTATTCTCTCCTGACTTTGCAAGAACTTCCAAAAATCTACAGTGTCATTGGTTCCTTTTAATTCTCTCCTCCCTCCCCACTAATGCTTCAGCAGAAAAATTGTCAGATTAAAGAAAAGAATTTACTTCTTCACCACCTAAAAAATTTGTAATAAATGTCTGGTTTGCAGTAGCAATTTTCCTGTGACACTAAGAACAAGGAAAGCGATTTGATTCTCAGCCGAATACAAACTATGGGTGTGTTAAGGAGATGGCTTCTTCAGTTTCTGGAGGATGGCCTCTTTGTCATCCTCTGATCCTCTTATCCACCAGACTTCACAATGAAACTCAGGATAATATCTAAGCATCTTACTGCTGCCCTCGTGACTGGAGGTTTTACATGATAAGTTGGGAAGGCAATCATAGCAAGTTGGCACAGGAGTCAGAAGTCTCTAGCAGGCTGGTGTAGCGTGATAGGACTAATGTTTGGTGCTGACATGTCTCATTGTAGATATTCTTGGCCTTTTTTTTTATTTAACTGGAAATTTAATGGTACAAATTGACCCCAATAAGGAAGAGAGTCAAATTGACAAAGGGTAGGGACCGTACATCTGTAATCTGCAGATTTCTCTGCATTTCATACCTAGTGCATTTCATACTTTATTATTTCAAAGCTCAGATTTTCCATTTCATAGTTTCCCAAAATATGTATTGTTGACTCTAAATATCATGCTACTGAAAACCTTTCAGGATGTTTTTTCTGCTAATGTTCTTAATCCTGTAGACTTCAGAAACTGCTTCAATAAAGAACAAAGCAGATGAGAGAAAGCAATATTCAGGAAGCTCTGTGCAGAAGCCTATTGAACCAGAAGCCGAGCACAGCACTGCAAATCCACAGATGACTGCACTTGTTAAAACCTCGCAAAGCACAAAAACAATTGTCAACCATGAAGACACGCTTGAGGTATGGCATTGCAATGAACATCATAGTGGTCAAAGAATTGTGCTGGTGTTGTATTGAATTTGTTACTCTGGGAGACGAAAATTTATGTTGACAATAGCAGAAAATTACCATCCATAAGTGCTGTGAGTACAGATGGTTTGCAATGCGGTATTTTTCTGTACTTCAGATTATATTGAGTAAAAGTTGAAATAGCTAGTAAAAAGTACATCATGAAAGGTACACGCATTTAAAGAAAAATAAGGCAAACTTGATTAAAAGTTGACCTAAGTATCAAACTGTGAAACTTAGTTAGAATTTTCCAGGTTTTGCTTGATTGTCAGTTCTTCATTAAATAATCAATTTTAATTGTCACTGAAATGACAAACTATCTGATTAGTGGGAGCAATCAAAAACTTGTACATCCAAGTGACTATGCATATTCATTTCAAATGAAAAGTGAAAGGTGAGTTTAAAAATATGTGTTTCTCTCTGTTTATTAGTAAGATGTCATGAATATGACTTGGATTGTATTTACCTCTTATAAAGAGTCAGAGATTTTAAACTTCTAATCTCTTTGCACATCTCTCTGACAAACACCATGTATTCACTTATTTAAAATGTTTCAGACTTATGACAAATTTTGGAACTTGTCACTTAATCAGGTGCCAGTCACAACTTTAAAATACTTTTTTCATAGTTTCACAAGCAGATTATTTTTGCCTGTGTTGTGTAAGCCATGCAACATGCAAATATCATACTTTTGCTGAAGAGACTTTGTAACAAGCGTTTGTGGCTGTTGCTGGCTATTTCCCCACTAGTGTGTTCTGTCTTCTACGTGCTTTCTGAAAATACTGGTTTTGACATTGTTCTTTAGTTTAAAAACAATTTCAGAAAATAAAATTAGTTGTCTAACTATAGTGACAGCTGTATATAGCTGGCTGTATGCCAGTAAGTAAATGAGGCAGCAGTGCGTAGGTAATCGGGGATAGTGAATTCCTTCCTTCCATGTAATAACCTGCTGGTAACTCTATTGCAGTTGAATTCAGATATCTAAACTTTGACTGTGTGTAAGTTTTTCATTTCAACATTGATTACGTTTGTTGTATGTCACATCCAAGAGCAAAGGCAACGTGGTAGAGGCAGTGAAGAGGTTGTCTGTTCCGATTGCAGAGAAAAACGATGGATTTTTATTTTTAATGAAGACTATAATAGCTGGTTTGTTACATCTCAGTCAGGTTTGTCGTCCCTGCAGTCCAAAGAACGGGCCAGGTAGTTAGTATCATGGGAAAGGTGGTGCTCCAGTAGGTTCCACACATTAAATGTTCTGAAACCTTTAAGAAAAAAAGTGAACATTTACAGACTATTTTAGCAGTCTGCAACATGGATTTTGTAGCATTTGCAATAGGAAGCATGTTTACTCGCAAGAAATTTCCACTTTGGGGAAGGAACTTTTTTTTCCTTCAAAATATTACTGGAAACAATTGGATTTTGAAGATGATAGGAATATAGGGCTGGCAGTAGGATACTGAATCAGTCACATGACTACTTTTGCAGCAGCTTTGTTAGTTAAGCGCTCTCAGAAATGCACTGAGCTCCATCTTATGGTTAGGAACTAGTGATTTCTAGCTTAAATGTATTCAGCTTCACTTTATGCCTCTGCCATTGTTCTTGAAGTTAAATAAATTTTCTTCCTTCTGGAATTTACCTCCAATGTAATTTTAAAGATACAAACCCAAGTTGCTCTTTTTTTGCTAGACTAGGCAAGCCGAGCCCATTCAGTCTTTTCTCACAGCATAGGTCTCCATTCTTAACATTGTCTTGATCATACTACTTGATAGCTGTTTCAGTTTGAGCTCTTTTCTGCAAAACCAATACCCAGCTAGTCAGTCTGGGTTGTTTGCTGGTTCAGTGATAGCTTTCCTACTTGGGCTCGACTGGAGGTTGTCTCCAATGGTGGAACAGAGGCTGCATCTGCTTGCTCCAAGCAGGTTTTTGAAGCTGAAGTTACAGGTTTGAGTGTTGTTCCCATAGAGTTCATCAGTGACAGTACAAGTCTGTGTGTGTTGCTTCTTGAAATAATTCAGCGGCAAGTATTGCTAAATTCAAATGACTTGCACTACAAATGCACTAGACAGTTGTTATGTTATGCCTATGTTTTATGTTGCTTGTTTAATTTTTTTCTCCTTTATCGTTCAGTGGGTGACAGTTTAGATAGCATTTACTTAACCTTTAAGCAGTTCTTTAAACTGCACAGCATAAAGCTGTTTTTTCTCTAGCAGGAGTCAGAAGAACTATCCTCTGATGAAGAGATGAAAATGGCAGAAATGCGACCACCGCTGATAGAAACCTCCATAAACCAACCAAAAGTGGTAGCTCTTAGCAATAACAAAAAAGGTTAGATACCATAAAAAGCAATAGAAGCGTTGTGTTATTCTGATAATTTTTCCACTGGTTAGTTTTTCCAATTAAATTATGTGAAAATAGATTTAATTTGTATGCTTTAAAAGAAAGACGGTCAATTCTCTGCTTAAGCAATGAGGGCAGAGAAAAAATTCTGCAATATCTTATACTTGAGTGTGTGGTAGAGAGCGCTGTGCTGACATCCTAATTTTCTTGATTCTTGTCATCAGTTTAAAAGCAGAGGGAGAAAGGAGATGTGTGTGCTTTGTGGGACTGTTAGCTTGAACATACTGTTGATATGCTTAAGAAAAGAATTGCAGAAGGTGGTATTTATCTTGGAAATATTCTGTATTTTCCCCCTCCCCCAGATTTTGTGGATTATTGCTGCTGTAGGCAGCAATACCACTTCTTTAAATTTCTCAGAAAAGCTGCGCTCTCTTCCTAAGGTTTAAGAATAAACTTCTCTTTCTCCAGAGTCACTTTGCTCCTCTATTTTATTTCTTTCCTCTAACAGGAAACTTCAGAACATTGTTTTTGTACCTAAGTTTTATATTCTCCAAAGGATAATTTTGGTCTGGGTAACCATTTTCTTAAGAGTAAGGAATGACCTAGGATTCAGAGAAAACATAATTTAAAACTTGGAGAGCAAACTGTATTTTGCTATGTTTGGTATCCTAGTCCAGTACTTTCCAGGACAAAAGGCTCTTCTGCCCATTAGATGTAAAAGTGTGATACTTAGTGGGGATGAAGGAAAACAACATGGAGGTAGCAGGAAGAGTCTGCTGAGGATCACGTGCAGGTGAAAAGGTTGATGTTTATCAGTGCTGTCTTGGGTTTTTATGCCTGACTAAAGTACTAAGTCCAAACTTCTTTCTAGACATTAGTTTCACAAAATTTATGCTTTTGGCACCTGTAACTGAAGCAAAAATTTAAATGTACTTGTATGCTTATATCAAAATCCTGGCTGGCTTCAAGTCCCACAAAGAAGTTATTTTTATATGTATATAGTTTGTAATTATGCACACATTATGCAAGAATCAATGTGTGCAGGTGTAATTTACTTTGAAAATGTTGTCCTATGTGATCTGCAAAGCATGGGAATGCATTGGATTCCAACTCTGCAGAAGAACATTTTTCTTTCCTGTTTTTTCACATTTATGAAACTATGCAACTTATCCAGTGATCTAGGTCTTTCCAGAGTGCTTGGTCTAATAAATAGCTATTTAAAAATGATATAATATTCAAGATCTGGAACTATGTACACTTTCAAAATACTGCATGTGAAGCAGTGTACTTCATTTTCATAGGGCTAACAGACTCATGTAATTCAAAACCTTAAATCATTGCAAAACCAGAAATACGACCTGAAAGATATTTTCGGGAAATATAACGTAGCACTAGCTTATTCCAAGGAAACTTGGAATAAAGCAACAGGTTAAATTTCATTAACAGGTGAGGGCTGTTTACATTGAGCCAAGTATTTAAAAAATCGGAACTATTGCCAACAGTCTTCTGCAAGTTTAACTGACATTTGCAAAGGTGTTAGCTTATGTTTTAGTTTCCAGCAGTAAGATATACTGTAGGACAAGAGACAATTTCTAAATACTGTGTCACACACACGTTTAACAGCTACCAGACAGATGTATGTGTCTGTAACTAAACTGGCAAATTTTTATTTCAGATGATTTGAAGGATGCTGATTCCTTATCAGATGAAGCTACCCACAATAGCAATCAAAATAACAGCAACTGTTCCTCTCCTTCTCGAATGTCAGATTCTGTTTCCTTAAATACTGATAGTAGCCAAGATATTTCTCTCTGTTCTCCAGACAAAGAAACACATGCTGCTGTTCTATCCAAGATCAGGTTTGTAAGATACTGTATACCACTGAACAAATACAATAGCAAAATGTTACTTAAATTTTCATATTATGTGTCCATTCCTTTAGTTCATTAATTTATCATTCGTGGAATAATTTAAAATTTAATGTTTTAAAATAAGGTTAAATAATGGAATAGTTCTTTTTTTTTTAAAAAAAAAAGTACAGTAAAATTCAGAGGCTAATTTTGGTATACAGGACATGGTTTTTATCTGTTTTAATAATAGGGTATAATAATTTCATCCTTATAATTTGTTATCCCTGAAAAATACTTCAATACACAATTTTAAAAGCTCTATGTTTTTATTTGCATAATTTTGAAGATCAGTTAGATTACTAACATAACTATAAAAGGCTTTTAGAAACCTATAAAGAATGGCCGTACGTGTTGCTACTCTTTTTGAGGTTTTAGTTAGAAGGTGCTATTGTTTTAAAAAATTGCAAATAGAAACAAGACATTTGTCTAAAATTGTCATGGAACTTGCAGGTATTTGATTAAAAAAAAAAAAAAAAATTGAGTTATTGTCACTTTGTATTTGTTGACACTTTTAAACTGTCTTTAATAATTCCTGTTGAATTTAAACAAACTTCTGAAATCAGATGACTCAAACGTTGCCAAATGAGCCCTCTATATAATACATTTCTGTAATGGTAAGATAGCAAATCATAAGTCTGGTTTTATATTGGTCTTTGTCCCATTTTCTGTGCACAGTATGGCTGTGTAGCATGTCAATGATTATTTTTTCTAAAGCAGTTCTTAAAGGAATATGTTGGTTCCTTTTGGAATTTCTTCTAAGAGACATCTTTTTTTCCAGACGAGAAGATGAAAATTTGAATAATCTTTTGCAAAATGGAGGTGAATTGAGCATTACAGTGGAAGAAAAAATAAATGTGCAAGAGAAGATTACAAATTTGTCTGAATATGAATTAAGCATTGAAGAAAGATTAGGCCTGGTAGGAAAAAGTGTTGATCTAAGCACTCCTATGGAGGAGTTTCACAAATTAGATCAAATAAACATGAATATCAATAAACTAGTTAGTGAAGAGACAGGGCCAGTTCCTGTAGAAACATTACAAACACGGGAAATAATTTCAGTAAAGGGCTTTTTGAATAACAACACGCCAGAAGAAAGTGAGCATGTGGAAAACGGAGATAAATATCCTGTAAATAAAGTAAATGGACATCCTGAGGAAGCAGTACCGTCTCCCAGTAAAGACAAACTAATGAGAAGCACTACAGTTGATGGTGATTCTGCTGAGCTGTCTGTTTCAAGGAGCACTGAAGATTTGTCCCCACAGAGAAGCGGTCCTGTGATGAAATCTCACAGCATCACCAGTATGGACACTGGTGGTCCGAAAATCTATGATATTGTCAGTGAGAATGGATCTCAACAGCCAAACTCAGCGGTAAAATCAGCATCTGGTAGTGCAGATGGAAAAAACATAGTCCGAAGTAAATCTGCTACTCTTCTGTATGATCAGCCTTTGCAGGTTTTTCCTGGGTCCTCATCATCATCTGATTTAGTATCTTCTGCAAAAACTGTGTTCAAGTTTGACTCGAATCACAATCCTGAAGGTGCTAATGTAGTGAGAGGATCAGTGACAAGCGGTGCACAGATGTTCTGCGCTCCCCAGTATAATATTCAGTACAGCAGCAGTGCAACAGCAAAAGACACCTTGTGGCCCCAGAAACAAAACACCCAAGTGGAGCAAGGCAGCTTACCTCCTTCACGTCTGCTTAGGTCTGACAGTACAGAAACCCCCAGCTATATAAAGCATTCCGTCAATATGAATTTCTCGAATCATAACAATGTCCGTGCTAGCACTGTGTATAACACTCATCAACGGATGGCTGGGAGACATAAAGATATGTGGGCTGTTCCACTGAATGATAGACTGCTCCCAGGAGCAACCAGACACACTCTTCAAAGGCAGAGCAGTGTCTCTTCTACAGCTTCTATAAATGTTGGGGATACTGGACCTTCAAGGCGGACGCAGGTTCTTGAAGGTGACTATTTAACATACAGGGATTTGCATTCAATGGGAAGAGCTCCACCAGTAATGTCTGGGCAACAGAGACCTCTTTCTGCCAGGACCTATAGCATTGACGGTCCAAATGTTGCCCGACCACAGAGTGCTCGGCAGTCGGTGAATGAAATACCGGAAAGAACTATGTCAGTTAGTGATTTCAATTACTCACGGACTAGCCCTTCAAAGAGGTCCAACTCAAGGGTTAACTCTGAACACTCTTTATTAGACCCTCCAGGAAAAACTAAAGTCCCTCACGACTGGAGGGAACAGGTGCTGCGACATATTGAGGCTAAAAAGCTAGAAAAGGTAAAAATAATAATTTTAAAACTTCTCTATCTTCCTGTTGCTTGGATATGGAATAAGTTAAATACTCTGTGTTTTGAACTGCTTTTAATTACCAGTGTAAATGTATTCCTGATACTGCCTTAAAAAGGATAAATGTGCTTGTTTCTGAGAAACAGTCAAATGATAGACTGTAAATGAACTTTTTCCCCAAAGAAAAACAGTTCTTGTTGGTTTTACATCATACTTGCCAACTTAGTCCAATTACTTTAGAACACATTATATAATGTAACGTTGATCTGCTGGACTGCAAGTCCAGCTATTTTAGGCCAGGTTATTTTTATTGTAGCATTGTATTCGTATTATACTATAATACTCTTACACTTCTTGATCTTTGTGTTCTGCCTTTTTTCCCCTATTTCTTCTCTTTAAGAACAAGGAAAAGAAAATCAGTAAAATCTGTTTGGAAGTATAGCTCTCCAGTTTCAGTTGGTGAAGAATTCAAAAGCCGTAATTAACATGTATTTGCCTCCAAGCCAGTTGCCTTTTGAAGTTGGGTATCTGACAGATTGTTGAATGAATATTTATTGCTGTGAGATGAGAACACTTAAAAATCTTGCTCATTTCAGGAAATCACAGGAGGTTTTGATATAACTAGAGATGATGAACAGGATTCTTTATGTAATGTAAATGCTATCAAGAATTTGAGCTGATATGTAGAGCTGAGCAATTATTTATCTTCAGAATTTGAGTAGACTGGAAGAGTGTAATCTATGCTGTCTAGCTAAACCAGTTTAAAATATCATTACTAAATAATGGGTAGAATGTCATTAGCCTGATCCTGTTTCCTTGGAGGGGAAGTGAGTAAAGCAGCCAAAATACATTTTGATTATGCCAGCTAGATGGGTTTTCTTTTTTAATTTCTTTTGAAAGAACATAGTTTGGTTTGTGATTAATATGCTAAATACTTCAATATCCTTGATAGCTAAAGAAATTTAATTTGAGATGGTTGGAAAAATTACTTTTAACTATAATTTTTCTTTGGAAATCCAAGTTTTAGAGGGATGGGTTTCCTTCTGTTTAAGTTGTGTAACTTCTGGTGATAGAAAGGGATGGGTTTTGTTTGTTTTTTAAAGAAGCCTGCACAACAGCTGCACCTGTTCTTCTGATCCAATTTGAGTCACATACAACATAAAACATTTTAACGCTTTCGCAGTGCTGTGCTGTAGCGTGGGGACCCTTTGTCCCACAAGGCAGTCACAAACCTCACCACGTTCCAACCCTAATAAAAGGTGCATTGTCTGATCTTCCATTCTGCTGGATGCATATATCAAATCTTATATGTAACAACAGAGAAGCAAATATCCCAGCAATCCCTGAACACAGAGGCAGACAAAACTTCAGTGCACTGCTAATGCAGTTTGTTTATAGCTCATTCTTATATCATCTACATTTGACATGTTAGGAACAATGTTTAATACACCAGTGATTCTTGTTCAGGTACTGTAGCAGTGTAGTCAGCTTTACTGAAAAGAAATTGATTGCCTGATTTGATGCCCTTTATATCTGTCCATACTTTCTATCGTGCTTTATATGTAAACCTTAACTTTGGTTTCCTACTAGAGTGATATGGAATAGCTGCTATTGAGATCTTAGCTTTACATCTAATTTAACTGGTCTGTTTTGTATGGGTGTGTTTCTTTTGTCTGGCCTTGAAGCATTTAAAGTAGCAATCTGAGACTTATTTATGAGTTTAAAAGTGAATATCTGTATAATTGTCTGCTTTATATTCTCTGGGATATGACTGACTTAAAAAGAAAAATCTGAACTGTGAAAAGCATAGATATGGTCCTATATGGCAGCTGGCAAATATGATAATGTGGAAATTCTAGGAATTTACTGGATATTTCTTTGTTCTTTTAAAATAATAGTTGCAGTATTTCTGTTTGTAATTAAAAATCAGCTGGGCCTGGGAGGCTTAATCTATAAACCAGACTTCTGAAATGGTTTGAAGTCTGGAAAAAATTTCAGCAATTACAGAACTCATTTAAGGAACAAGCATTTAAAGAACAAGTTCAATTACAGAGCTCATTTAAGGAACATTTATTGGAAAATGCTTTGACAGAGCTTTCATGGATTTAAAATGGCATTTCTTTTTTTAAAGCATAAGACACAACACTGACAAAAAACAGGTATACAAAATTAAGCCTTATGATCAATATTTAATTCATATCTTCTTGCCTATGGTTATACACAACAGTATGGGTTAATAGCATTACCTTTGCTGTGACTTTTCTGCATCTGTTGCTGAATTTAATCAAGTTTATTATTTCTATCCTGTGTTTATTAGGAAAAAGGGTATAGTGAGGTTTTGGGGGTTGGTTTTGTTGTGGGTTTGGTTGTTGGTATTTTCTTTTTTGTTGTTGGTTTTTTTTTTTTTTTTTTGCTAAGCTCCTGAAGTACGTACTAATTTTGTTGTTATAAAATTTAGTAACTGGAGGGAGAGAGAGAGGAGGGTAAGCCCACTTAAATAAACAGTGTCTGCTTTTTGGATAGATTGGATAACCTACTTCTTGTTTTATTTATTAGCCCTTTTTACCTGATATAGGTAGGGAAAAAAAACTTTCAAGAATTTACTTTGCATGAGGAGACATACAGGGTAGTTTTAAGTGCAGCAAAAATGATCAGCAATGGATTCCAGCCAAGTAACCAGTGTTTGCAGTACCTTTGAAAAGCTGTAAGGGGACATACACTGATCAACTAAAATTAGCCATCTGGTTGAAGGAAGGTGAAAACAGTTCATGAGACCATTTGTAAATAGAAATTTTACATATGTTCAGGAGAAACAACTTGCTTCCCTGATGCAAAGCATATTTTATTGTGGGGTAGAGAGAAGAGCTTATTTAAATGTCAAGCTGCTCTCTAGTGGTTAGGTGAGCTGTTGGAAAGCATGCAGTCATTTCTGCCCCTCCCCCAACCTCATAAATTTAGTGCACAGGTGAGTTTTTAAGAGTAGTAATATTTTTCAGCATATTTTCCTTTTTGAGTGTGACTTGCCGATTTTACTACCTGGTATGTTGCAGCAGTCTACTATAGTAGTCTTGTTGAAAGTTTTCATTTAGGAATTTAAACTAAAATACTGCCTGTGTAAAAACACTAGTGTCACACACATTTTATTGTGTGGTACTTCTCATCTCTAAATTGCAACAATAAATGTCTGCAACAGTTATCTGCAAATATCTATTATATTTCAATGTGCTGAGTAGGCAGAAACAGTTACTGGACCTGGCTCTGCCCTGTCCTTGTGTATGTATATTTTCTTTTTTTTTTGTGGATATCTTGGGAGTTCATCAGGTGTGTGTATGCTTTCAATTCTAATTTCATCTGGAATTTTTCATCTAATTTTAAAATAGCAGAGCTTTCAGAGAAGAGGTCATAAAGTTTGAATTCTGCTTTCTAATTCAGAAATCAGAACAGGTGGTTTTATTCTCAAAGTTGCTGGTGTACAGTGCCTTATTAAAAGAAAAAAAGTGCAACTGTTTCAGTATTAATATAGAATTGCAGTTTTAATCAAAGTTTGAAAGTGTTTTTTGAAGTCATTATGCTACATACCTAACATGCAAAAATATTTTAATTCATATGGCCTCAGATTTTCTCCAAGCTAAGCATGCTTCAATATGTTGAGGAAAGTAACTTCAGTGGGTCTGTGCACACATAAAATTAAGTACTTAAGCGTTTATAAGATTATAGCCTGAAGGATATTTTGACACTGATAAATTGCACAACTTCTATCCATTCAGTACTTGTTATTTTAAAATTTTGATTTTAGTTTTATTTTTTTCTTTATTTTGAATGGATTACAAAACGCTCCAGGTGTTATAATGATATTCTGTGGAATTCAGAAGTCAATACATCACACTTAAAAAGAATAAAAATCTTGTTCATTTAGAATGTAAATAACAAAAGTTTTGACCCTGCAAACATTTTATGACAGTATCATTTAAACTATTTAAATCAATTTTTTTTTTTTCAGGATCAGAGACCTAAATTCATGCCTTTTTTTTTTTCCTGTCTCATGATTGAAGAATAGTTTCATAATGTTTATATTCTTCTTCTTCTTTGGGATAAACTGTTGTCTTGCTAGAATTCTATCAGATTTCTAACAAGCTGGGTTTTTGCTTGTGTGCTTTTATTCCAGAAGTCTTAAAACAGTAATTTTAAGTATTTCAAGTGTTCCAGAATACCTTGAGCAAACTTATTCTAAAGAATCTTAGATAGCAAACGTGGGAAGGAAAAGTGAAGGGATTTCTAGACATTTAATATATCCTCAAAGGATAACGTATGTCCACCTTTAGCTGTTAAATAAATAAATAAAAAGGCCAATAGTTAGGCTTAGCAGTTAAGTTACCAGTCAAGGCTATTCCAAGACAAGTAGAATGTAGAGTCTTGTTCCCTGCAGGTACTTGAATTTTATTAGTTTCTGGTTATACCAAAATTTCATGGATTGTCATGACAGACTCCACCCAGTCTTAAAATTACAACAGTATTATCCAATAGAAATTTTTCCTAGGTAATTTTCAGTATTTATTGTCTTGCACCTAAGTAAATGTGTTAAGACACTTCAGTTCCCAAAAGACACCCTTTTGAAACCTGAAATCGTTAATTCTCTTGTGAGCTGCAAAATGGAGAATATGTTCTGACTCTTAGCATTCAAAAAGAATGTAAGTAAACCCCAACACTACACTACTAGCTGCCTGCATCTAAACTGATTCCATTAGAGGCTGATTTGGCCACAAATCCCGATTTACATGTTGATTTTTATTTTTTATTTTTTACTTTGTACATAGCCATTCTTGATGTATTGTAGCTTTTAATATGTGTTCTTCATGGTTGAATAATTGGTTTCTAGTAAACTTAGCTTTCACAAAATTAGAGTGGAACTTAGTGTGTATCAGTTTTGAGTAACTGAAATGAGATTTCTAAAGCCTCAAATATTTGAATTATAATTTTGCAGACCATTATGATACTGAAGCAAGGAGTTGGTACTTGCAATTAACATTCATATTTAATCTGAAGTTTAGACCATACGTTCATTCCATATTTATTTTTTAATAAATTGGAATAAAAATCAGGGGTTTAATGGCATCTGCATATTCAGATTTCAAAAAGTGTCTTCTCTGGTGCAGCAAGTCTTCAGGAATCTCACTAGGAAATGTACAACCTTCATTGTGCTCAAATTGAGAAGCAAAATTAGGAAGTATACTGTTCACAGTCCAAATGCCTCAGTTTCTCTCTTCCCAGAGGAAAAATACTTCCTAGGTTTGTCACTAGGAATCTCTTACTGTGTTAAACTGAAACTTTCTTACAACTCCATGTAATTTTAAATATTACTTGTTCTGTACATTTTGTACTTGTGGGTTCCTTCCCACAGTGTTTATTTAGTGTTGAGACACTGTGCCCAGTGTAGAGAAAGAGAAAAATGGTGTTTGCAATACTTCTCATGTCTTCCCTACATCAATTGCACAATCATTTTTTGTACTTTGGAAAAAGTCTCTACCAAGAAAGGAGATTTTTATAAACCCTTGAGTAAAACTACTCTCCAGCTATGTAATCAACCTTGAAGCTCACTAAACTGAGTTAACTGAAATCTTAACTCCTGAATGGACTAGCTCGTGCCTCTACAAATTTTAGGAAAGTTCTACTTCCCATTGCAGATCTACCTTAGACTGTAAATATAAATCTGGGTTTAGATTGTCCCTGTTTATTGACCATCTGTTTGGGTCCTTTTAAGAGAAGAGTGAATCTAGCAGATCTAGGGATCTTTATGGTAAGATAGTGTGCTAGAGACACTTTCAGAAGATAACTTTCTAGTTTCATCATGCATTCCTTCTATTTTTATCAGTCTTTTTGCCACTTACAGAAGATGGGAGCCTCTGAGAGGAGCTTCCTGTAAGGACACTTCAGGGACTTGCCTGTACAAGTGGGGGAAGAAGGCCACCTGGCTAATTATAGAGACTATTTTGAGAAGAGTTGTAAGAAGATGCTTTGAGGCACTAAGGAGCTAAGGAAAACTGGCTTTGGCAGTTTCATCTGGGTGTTTGGCCTGAAACTTAAAGGAGCAGTAAGCTCAGATTGAATGTTTAGTAAAGGGAGACTTGAATGCTGAGTACAGTCTTCCCTTTCTAAGAGGGGAAAAGCCTCTGGAGACTTGTCTGGAAGCTTGAAAAATCCATTGACTAGAGAACAGGGTAGGTGTGGAAGAGGAGCATGAAGAAAGCTCACTATGCCATTGAGTGAGAGGTCATCCAGGAGCCTTGGCCAAGAAGAAAGCCAAGTATTGTCAGTAAATGCGGTTTTCCAAGGGAGTTTCCAATGACTGTGCTACCAGAGCATCTGGGAAGTATGAATATGCAGAGGCATATGACTTTGATTATTAAATTAGTTTTAGTTCCACAAAATAAAGCTACTATGAAAGACTAAATGTCAGCCTGAGGACTAGTAACTATTTTCAAAATCAGATTTGTAGTCAACAGAAAAACCAAAATGTATTTATTCACGTAAGAGTTCTTGCGGTATCTATCAAATGATAGGTGTTTTGAATTTTTTTTTTCTTTAACTTGGAAAAAATAGAGACTTTATTAAAAAAACCAAAAACTTTGAATTTGCTGGGTTTTGAAGCTTTGTGGTTTTTACTGTGATCATATTTTGTCATGGGTCTTTGTCACTTTTTCAAGATAGGTTTGTTTTGTTTGTCAATTGGCACATGGAGGATTTTCCTTTTCTTTTGTGCAGTCTTTTTATTTTGTTTTGTTCTTACAACTGGAAAAGTCCATGGTGGCAAGACATTAATGTCTACTGCTTGCTTTCTATTACCCTTGCCAATATTGCAGAGGTCAGGTTTGTGAGGTAATGAAGCTCAAAACCAAACCACTATCACTTCTGTCCTTGAGCTCATGTTACCTGTTTGATTGCCTGCAGTGGCACAGGGATGAAGGCCAAGGTTTCTTTCGAGCCTCTTTTTCATCAAATGAGGCTCGTTCTTGTTATTGCAATGCATTGCAGAAGTTGGCAGTATTGCAATAGTAAGAAAACCCGGTCAAACGGTCAAATCTTTGTCTCTGTGTGAGTTACTTGTACTGTACCAGTAATGGGGGGGGAAATGAGACAAAATAATAACTGGTAATTAGATGTTTTTCCACAGGTGTCTATCTTGACTGCCAGCTTCTCTTCCTACAACAACTTTGATATGTTGCAAATTTAATGAAAATCTAGAAATTTTCATAAGCTGTGCACCTTTGTTTTTCCAGACACATGAACATTTGAATGACTTTATTTACATGTAATTCTGCATGTTAACTGCTGATAGCATGCTGATTTACAGTAAATAAAGGTAAATAAGGGTCACTGAGTTGTGTTTTATACATCACGACGGTACTGTTCTTGCATGGTTTTTATCTTGCATGACAATGGAATATGTTTGTATTAGTCTATGTATAACATGTCTTGTGGTTTATGCATGCTGCACTAATCTCTGTGTTAAATCTGTCCCCTCTTTATTCAGAGCATGCTGTCTAGGTCCTTTAATTCCAATTATGCTGCAGTTAGCAGCTTTCACTATGGCAGCTCTAGGGATCTGCATGGCAGCCAGGGTAGTGTTGCCTTGAGTGTTGCAGACGGAAGAGGTTCTGGTGTGCACATTGTTCGAGTGAGTACCTACAGGAGGCTATTGCAATGTATAGAGGGGGAAAGAATGAACTGTGAGAGGTGTCCTTAAATTGATAGAGTTATCCTTTTACATATGGATGGTGCTTATAAAAATAATATAATTGATATGCTGGAATTTTTCTACAGGCACTAAATCCAAATACTTTGCCTTCACTTCATATGCCTTAAACTTATTGCAAGGCTTTTAAATTAAATGTCATGAAGTTGAGTTTTCTTATTGGCTTTTATGGAGGGTTGAACATATGAAAAACTCTGGTTTTGTTGTACATATGTGAATAAGAGATTGCCACTCTGAATTTAACCTAGGTTGATAAAAGTTTGAACAAAATCTTATTATGCTTTTTCCTCCCCCAGACAAATTCTGATGATGTAAGCTGTACTGTTAAGATACTGTAGGCATTCAAGAAAATTAATATTTTAGTTTTTAAGAAAATGTGAAGAAATTACTCTCTAACTCTGAGCATCCTGAGTGTTGTTATGTTATCCATAGCGAGTAGGATAAAGTCAACAGAAGACTTCTTTTAACCATATGAATCCTTGAATAGGCAGTTCTTAGCATTTACTGACTTTCCTTATCAATTTATTGGTGACCAAGGACACCTCTGCAGTTGCTAGTTTTTGTATTTCATGAGTGTGGTGTCTTGGCTAGTAACATTTTCTACTTAAACAATGTGCTAGTGAATAAAAGAAGATAAAGAACAATAAAGCCCTTAAAATGTTTTTTTTCTGGGCTTCTTAAGAGAATTTTTTAGTCTGAACTATATGAAGACATTCGTCTTTACTGCTCAATTCTGTTTAAAGCATCCCCAGGCTTCTCCAGTAGACCAATGCCAAGATGAGGTATTCATTTCCGGACAGCAGAATTACTCATCTGCCACACTTAGTCTCAAAGATGTTACTCCGGACAGCATGAAGAAAATAGCTGTGCAGGTAATTATCTACATGACACCATGGACAGGATACATTTAGTATTATTTGTAAGGATACTTTTTTTTTAGTAGCGGTAGAAATATATATGGAATAGCAGTTGCAACTGAGGCTTCTTTAAAATGTAATACCCAGGTGTTGAAGGTGGCATAAATTAAATAGCTCCCTCTTTTTGGAAGACAAAATGGTTAGCTATATGAATGGGGATAGTTCTCATTTTTCTTCATCAGGGGCTTTGAAAGAAGAAATTTGCAGCAAAGGATGTAATTGCAAGTGGAAATTGGAATATGGCAGATGATTTCAAGAAAGCAACCTGAAGTTGATTAAACCTTGTACAGGGGAAATTTGAAATCTGTTGTGATGAAATTGTGATGATAAACTAGAATTTGTAGGAGATGTTCTATATTCATCTCCAAGGACCATCTATACAGGCAGGACTTAGTACTTAGAAACTAGATGGATGCTTGTAAAATATTACGATGCAGCAATTGATTTTCAGTACTTTCAGCTGCATTTCTACAGACATTGGATATTGGGAATTCGCATAGCTGTTGATACTTGTTGCCTATATAAACTCTACCTCTGGCAGTGCAACAAAAAATATGCTTTAGGTTTTCAGAAAAGGCAGTAGAAAAATCATGTAAATTGAATACGTGCGATCTGTAAATAAGCTAAAAAAAGTATGTATACACCCATTACTGTGTCTCAGAATCACTTTGACATAAAAAACTCACCTGAACAGAATAGATTGTATGTCCATTCACATAGCATGGTTAAAGGTTGAAATTTTCACACTTCAGTTATTTATAATGAAAGAGAGATAGATGTTATTTTAATATCCTTGTATCCTATAACTAATGGGATAATGGTGGCAGGCAGAAAAAATTATGTAACTCAAGCCTGTAGCATTTTTGGAATGTGGGAATCATACAGAGGGATGAGTGACTACTTAGAGAGGCATATCTGCAAGGAGGGAAAAGGGTGCCCATCTTAACACAGAGCTGCAGACCTGAACAGTAACTCTGAGACTTCAGTAGGAAACGTTGCCATCCCCAGCATCATCCCTAGTGATGTGGTTTGAATGCACTGTGTGTCTTGACAGTTGTGTATACTTTATTGCTGTTTGTTGTCATTATACCTATCAGATCAGTGACAGATGCGTTAACAAAAGAGTAACATTTATTGGAAATATTACAGTTTTGATATTGAAAGTCTTGAGCTTGTATGTGAATACGCTCAGAAGGTTTTCTTGTGGAGTGGTCACCAAAAGATGCTCAGAGAGCATGTAACTTCTGTCTGCTAGCTGGGGTGGTGGTATTTTTTGTATGATCTACTAGGAATTGTTACAAAATCCCTGGATTTTATGCAGTAAAAGTGCAAACTAATGGTATCAACCAAGTGTCAATACTGTCAGTTGCACTGCTAGCAAATAATGGTTGGGGTAGCTCAGTGAAACAGGTCCTAAAAGCAAAGGCTGTCTAGTCTGTTCTAGTAGATTAGCACTCAAAGTAAATTTTTGTTTTTCAGATTTGTTCTTAGCAGGTCAAAGCTGATGATTATAAAGAAAATGGAGTATAATTGTACATGATCCAGAAGAGCAGTTTTAGTGATGTTCCTAAAATTAAAAGCAGTCAAGTATGAGCAATATTGAAATAACAAAGGAGAAATTGAGGATTGCTGCTTACAAAACATATGACAATGAGTATTCATGTTTTATTCAGATACCTTTGACAAATGGACAAATGTGTCAGCCTCAAAGACCTCAGGCAAACTACAGCCAAGTCCATCATCTCCCTCCTCAATCATCAGTAGCAAGACATCCATCTAGAGAGCAATTAATTGATTATCTGATGTTGAAAGTTGCCCACCAACCTCCCTATACCCAGTCCCAGTGTTCTTCCAGACAAAGCCGTGAGTTGGCAAAGCAAGAAGTAAGAATAAAATCTAACTTGATGATACGGCATCTGTCTGTCAGTGGCAGTGAATTGTTAGATGGTTTTCGTTTATTACCATTTCGCTGTAGATGGTGACAGAAACTATCTCAGTGCAATTCTACTACTGAAGTCATACATTCCTTCTAATTTTGAGCTCTTCTTACTTTTTATGTGACATTTTAAGAGAGAAATATGGTGGATTTTAACAGAATGTACCAGAAACTTAAACTTCCATTTTTTTACTGAGCTAGAAATTTGTTTCTCAACTACATTTATTGATCACCAATTCATTATTTATCTAGTAACTGAAAAAATACAAAGTAGCAGTACAACTTAGTAATGAACAGATGCAAAGTACTGTATCCAGAATGGTTCAAAAACCTGCAAATGTAGAAACATGCATCCATATCAAAAGTGTGAGCATCTCATGCATGCCTAATAATTATGAGTTTTATTTAAGATAGATGTGGGTTAGAAATTCTTATACGATTTAATCGTTTTTTCATTGTGGCAACCTTCCTTCTGCTCTTGGACACAGAATGTTTCCTCTTTATTGTTTTGAGTTTTTTGAGAAGATACTGAGAACTGCATTTTCATCCTGTGTAGAATGAGGATGTCCACTTGTGTAAAATAAGTTTTCTAGTCAACTATTCTGGCAAGAGAAAGGGGAGATAGTGTTGGCTACATAAAACTTAAAGTGAAAGTAGGAACAAGGTTTGATTTTTAAAATTCAGCTAGAGGTAGCAAAGAAATAGGACAAACAGGTTCTTTCATAAGAACATGTATATTTGCTGGGGGCATTGCATTCATTTACATGATATCAAAATATCTCTGACTTTAAAGCTTACATGAACTATGATTATAATAATAGTGATATCGGAGTAAAACTTATGTACAATGATACATGATGCTGTTGTATTGGAATCTTGTTCTGATTAATTAATATTATGAGATATAATACTCTCTTGAACTGTGATAATGCTTTTTTGATATTTTTTTTCTTTTTAAAGCTTTTGTTCATGTGAATTCTTTAGTAATAATTTTATTACAGTAGCTTTGAATGCAGATTTTCTGCCAGTTCATCTAACTTTGGTTGTAACTACTTAGATTCGAGTGAGAATTGACAAGGATCCAGAACTTGGATTTAGTATATCAGGAGGAGTTGGTGGTAGAGGGAATCCATTCAGACCTGAAGATGATGTGAGTATTTTATACTAATGCATCTTAAAATCTCTCTGATTAATAATGTTTCTAGTGTTGAGCAAAGGGTGGGGAGAGAAGGAAGTATGTATATTCCCCAAAAGTACTAAACTCCAGGACTGGAAGGGAGAAAACTGGGGTCAATAATATGAAAAATCAAGGTGGTAGGTGACCACAGTGGTCACATGACAACACAGAGGATTATTCTAGCTCAGTGGTTCTTGCAGAATTCCAGATATCAGTCAACAGATTTGAGATAGTGAATTATGGAGTTTACAGTTAGGAAGCCTCTTAAGAGGCTACAGTCCTCCATTTAGCCTACAGTCTTGTTTCTGGTGGTTGATAATTCATCTTGACATACACATCTGCCAAATTAAACAAAGGCAGATCAGCATTTGCCCTTCAGTACTCCTTTAAAGGCAATTCTCCTGGATTTGACATCAGAAAAGGAAGGCAGTCACAAAAGAATAGAATTATATTGCGTTCTCTTCTACTTAGGATGGAAGATTGAAAAAATGTTTTTAATTACATCTGTTTCATGCTGTCCTACTATTCATGAAATGTGTTGTAAAAAATGTTTTCCACCTCTGTTTTTCAAGGGTATATTTGTAACCAGAGTGCAACCAGAAGGACCAGCATCTAAGTTGTTGCAGCCTGGAGATAAAATAATTCAGGTACTGTGGTCATCTAATTAACTAGCAATTAACTGGTCACACATAAGTTCATTTTTAGTTTGCACCTTTTTCTAAGAGCAAAGCATTTAATTTTTAGATGGATTACCAGTATCTTTTCCAGAAGCATTCTTACATTCTTGGATGATGCTTTTAATTTTCTTCCACCTAACATTAGGATAGGTGATACAGGCTGAAGCATTAATCAGTTGGATCATGTTTTCAAACTCTGAACATTTTCCACACTTTTAAAGACAAAAACAAGAGGCCTAATATTGTCATTCAGGATGGAACATGAGCACTTCATTAGGCTTTACTAAGATTCAGTTATTTAACTTGTGGTCATTCACATGCAGTATTCTGAATAACGTGTTGTCTGAACGCCAGCAGTTGCCCCTCACAACCCCTCTGCTCCC